ACTTGTTAAGCAAGTGTTACTCTGGCATTCATTGTTACCACATGGCAAAGTAGATTTTGTGACATATGTCCTCACTTGTGGATAACCAGAATACTTCAATTAAAGGAAAAACAGTTCTGTCCCCCTAGATAGGGCTTAGGTAAGGCTCATAAATAATAAAATGTATTTTGAGGTTTGCCTCTGTCATCTGGTACCGTGCATTTGCTTTTTTCTGAGACTCTGTATTTTAAGTAGCTAATTCAAGGAAAAGGGATGGATGTAGTGGGCTATTTCAGTTACTTTTGATGGGGAGACTTTTAGAAACTCAAATGAAGGCCATTCTAGAAGTCAGCTGTATTAGAAAAATATACTTGTTCCTTTATCATTGCATGCTGAGATGCCATCCTTTGTGTCATGCTGTAACAGAGTATTGTGTACATGTTTGCTTCTTACCTAGCACTTATCCAGGAACCCACATCTGATTTTTTTTCCCCCTGGCTTTTGAAAAGCTTGATTTCTCCCCAGAACAAAATGAAACTATTCTGCCATGTAGGCATGAGACTGCAGCCTGTGGGAGCTGAGGTTCAGGTGTGCAGCTGTACTGGGTGGTTGAGCCTGGAAGCAGAGGCACGTCCTCGATGACAATGCTGTGCCTGGTGTCCTCTCTGTGGGCTCCTCTCATGGAGCTCCTGGGTGGTGCCTTCTGAATGGGGACCATAGGGAGTCAAAAAATCTATAGTTGTCTTTTTCTGGGACTGCTGAAATTCCAGGGAGTCAGGTGGAGCAAAAACTGGCTTTCACTTGGGATTTAGTGGTGGATCAAGGTGACAAAAGGAGATGGGAACAACATGTCAAATAGGAATTTTCTCAGTTGGCATCAAAAGCAGGAGTCAGTGGGATTCATTTGACTCAGTCTTCATAGCCTCATAAACTGCTTGATTAGCAGTAGAGGAGTGAGTTTGTCACCTAGCAGAGTTCTGTCTGTATCTTGACCCTGTGTTAAAACATCCATTCAGAGCTTTGGGTAAAGGTAATGTTTTTTTATGTGACTTGTACCTGTGGTGTAGGGCAGCCCTGGGTGTATGGGCAGAGTGGGCAGTGAGGTACTGGAGGGCAGTGCTGCAGAAAGGGACCTGGGAGTCCTGGTCAGTGGAGAGTGGAAGGTGGGTCAGCAGTGCCCTGGCAGCCAGGAGGGACATCTGTGTCCTGAGGGACACCAGCTGGGTGAGGGAGGGGATTGTCCTGCTCTGTGGTGGCCTTGCCCTAAGCTGGTGCTCAATGATGTAAGAAAGACATGAAGTTCTTAGAGAATATCCAAAGGAGGGCCATGAGGATGGTGAGGGGTCTTGAGGGGAAGCCGTGTGAGGGGCGGCTGAGGGCCCTTGGTCTGTTCAGCCTGGAGGAGACTGAGGGGAGACCTCAGTGCAGTCACAGCTTCCTTGTGAGGGGAACAGGAGGGGCAGGCACTGATCTCTGCCCTGTGGGAACAGTGACAGGACCCAGGGAATGGCCTGAAGTTGTGTCAGGGCAGGTTTAGGTTGGATGTCAGGAAAAGATTCTTCCCTAGAGGGTGGCTGGGCACTGAACAGACTCCCCATGGCAGTGCTCACAGCACCAGCCTGGCAGAGAACCAGAAACATTTGGTGAATGTTCTTGGGCACACAGTGTGACTCCTGGGGATGGCTCTGTGCAGGGCCAGGAGTTGGACTGGATGATCCTTGTGGGGCCCTTCCAGCTCAGTGTATTCTGTTGATTCTAGGATAGTGTGCTGAATCCAAAATCAGAAATAGTAGAAATGAGATGTATATAAAAACTAACAGGGTACTCATTAGAGTTCAGCTGAATTGTTGAATTCAGCTCAATTGTTCTATTGTGCTGTCTGTACACTTACATATACATATATGTCACTGCATCAGTTTACATTTGTTTATAAATTGTCAAATTCATTATAAATAGGTATAAAGGCAATTCTTGAGCTGAGCCAAAGTGTGCCTTGATGTGTTGTAACTCTAAAAAATTGAATTGAATAGCCTGAATTAAGGAAGTGATGGGAATTCAAAGTTTCATGCTTTATTAGTTCTAGAGAGGTTAAAGCAGTGGTGTGTTCTCTGTGGGCCTGCAGTTTGATGTTTTCTCTGAAACAGAAATGGTGAATGAGTGGCTGAAAACAGGACTGGTGAACCACTGCCTTCTAATACTGTTTAAATTGCATGAATTGGATTATAATTGCATTTACAAAGGTATGTTTGTATATTCTGTAATTAAAAGGAAAATACCTGAACAAGGATTTCCCTGCAATTGAGAGCATGCCTCTGACTACAAGAACCACTCAGATGATTTATTGGAAATGGAATGTCTTTAGTTAGCTGCAGCATAACTTGAAGTTACTATTGTGTGTCTTGAGGACATCTCATAAACTTGGAGGGAGAAGTGATGGACTCACTTAGGAAGTTGGCCTCGTCTAATGCACATGACTAAGACAAGTGAAACTCTGTGTAAGCCCTGAAATACACTTTCCTGGGAGTGTAATTTAAATAATATGCATGGAGAATCATCATTAGACCGTAAAGCAAACAATCCCTAAATAAGAGGAAGAAAAAATAGATGAGTCCTTCATGTAAATATTTTGTATTTACTGGCATCTACAAAATTCATAATATTTTTCTTAAATTTTATTTCATTCTATGAATTTGTAAGATTTCAAGTAAATTGGTTATTTCAGTTGTAGCTTCCTTGTATCTTCTTAAGCTGTGCTACTTTTCTTGAGCAGAATGGAATTTATAAGACTGCTTTGCCCACATCCTTCAGCTGAGCACAGAGGCAAATCTGAGGGTAAGTTCACACTGATGTCAGTCAGTCTGGCAGGAGAGCTGCAGTTTGTCCTGGGTCCCTGGCTGGCATTAGGGTGAGCACTCTCTGCCTTGCAGTGCACTACTTCACATAATTAAAGAAACTGAAAAATAATCAGTCTTTGTACATTTGGTGGGCTTTTGGTGTTGTTTTCTTTAGGAGTCTGAAGCAGCTCAATTCATGAGAATTCAGCCCAAAGCATTGGGATAGGGAAGAGATGAAATCAAGCAGCTTGCCCTTGGCACCAGCTGTTTTGGAACTGCAGCTGCTGGTGGACACCACTGCCTGCAGTTTAAGGCAGCCTGGAGCAGGACTGCTGCTGAAATGAGCTGTTTTACCATTTTCCTGCTTTGCTGCCTCGCTCCTTGTGCCAGCACAAGTGTTTTATGTGGCTGCTCTGTGACCCAGCCCTGTTAAGGAGGAGTGGTGGTGATTAAAGGAGGTTTATTGTGGTGGGGTTGGCTTAGGGCTGCAGAACAGTGCAGTGGGAGCTGGCAGCAGTTTGATTTCACTGGTTTGTGTGAGTACCTCCAAACCTCCATCAGGTAGTGCAGAACTGACTGCATTGAACTGCAGTAGACTGCAGTGTGTGTGTGTGTGTGTGTTTGTATATATATATGTGGCAGAAAACCTACTCTTGCTGGCACTTTCTACTTAGTGATCTTTATAAACATCAGTAAAAAACAATTAAATACTCAGGAGGGCATTTTTTAAAAAGCACAAATTAAATACCGAATACATTCATTTCAAAAATTGCATTTCAAAAATCAGTTTCTTCCTAAAGAAAGCTTTGAGTTGGTAATGCATTTGTTCTGGACTTAGTAGGCTTACTAAGCCTTATGAATATGAATTATGAAAGCTAGAGATGGATAATAGTTGAGTGTTTTGAAACAGTACAATTTTACTGAAAAGTGAACATTATTCTAATGGCATTATTAGAGATGTCTAAGTTTGTTGGTGCTGTTAATACTAGAGACTAGGCAGAGGAGTTAGAGTGTATTCAGTCAATTTTTATTGTGTATGTCGTGCCTTGCAAATTCACACAATATAAGAAAAGATTTTAAAGTGTCTTGGAGAAAGATAACAGCATTGAAACTTAACTTGAGATGAGACATCATAATAAAACACTTAGGAATATGCATGGTGTTACAACAGAAATTTCACTCCAGTTGTTCACTTGAGGTTTTGGTGATTGGATCAGGAACTCAGCACTGCCAAATGCATCTTCCTGGAAACTCATACAACTCTTTGTATCACCTTACTTGGCTCTTTAACTTCCTGGGAGCTGTTTTTGTTTTATGTGGTGCTTAGAAGTCTGAGTTGCTCTGGGAAATTACATTTCGGCTTCCGTGGTTATACAGTGCCTGGTGCTATCAAGTGGAATTGCTGTTAGAACTTGATGCAGCTCTTTTTGTCTCTGTATAACACAGTGGAGTTGAAACACAGTGAATATGGAACTGTTGGTATAGCATTGCAACTTCAACAAATCTGATGTCACAATTTTCTTCATATAATCTGCTAAACCACGTGGTGGGGATGTGATGGGCTTTGTAGTGGGGCTGAAAGGCCAGTGGATCCAGGCTTTCACAGGCACATGCTGGGAAAAGGGGGAATGCAAGTCCAATTTCCTGGGTGAATACTGATGTGCCAAGAGGAGTTTGGCTGCAGGGTCTCTATTAGTCTCAGCTGAGGTAGAATCAGTCTCTCAACTCCCTCTGACATCTGCAGTTAGACACTGTCAGGAGGAGAGTATTGCAAAGATTACAAATTTGGCTTTTTAGGCTCTTAACCAAGTCATTTCTACATAGACCTTGAGCAGCACCATGAATTCAGATGAGAATCTACTCTAGGAATTTGGGCACTAAAGAGTCAGAGCAAAGAGCTGCACACATTTACTCTGAACAGAGTAAACAGACACACATTTGGAAGGTGTGTCAGTGCCTCAATGGTATAAAGGTGATTGTAAGTGTAATTTTTACTTAGAACATTAAAATAATGTTAAATATTTCAAATGTGACTTTGTCAGTTCTATTCAATAAGAAGAAATAATAAGTCTAAAATAAAAGATTCTTTATAGCAATGTATTTGTTTCTGTAATGTTCTTTTCCAGGTGTGGATTGAGTTTCCTGTATATGTTAATACAGCATGTTGTCTTTTTTTTCCCTCTCCAGATTATGCAATGGTCTCTGCAAGATGGCATGTTCTTGAGTTGGAGATTTTTAAGGCAAGCATATGCTGGTACTTCAACTTTACTAAGTGGACTATAATTTCTTCTCTCACATCAACTACATAAGCAGACAAAATTGCAAAGATCTGCCCTGTGTCGAGTATGACAGCCACGACTCGTGGCTCTCCGGTAGGAGGGAATGACAGCCAGGGCCAGGCTCCTGATGGACAGTCCCAGCCTCCCCTCCAGCAGAATCAGGTATGGTATTAACAATCAATTCATCTCAAAATAAAGGACTTTGTTCTTTAGAAATAGTGTTCCTGAATTATTTGAATCTGTACATTTCTGGAGATCTCTAGTTAAGTTAGAGGTTTCTGTGTGCGTGTCTGGAAGTACAGCAATATTTTGAGGCGTGAAGGCAGTGGTATTGGCAAAGTAAATATGGTTAAAGAGCCTGGCATTGTAAAAATGCTGCCTTTTCAGGCAGTGGCATGGTTCTTTCAAGAATGCCTGTTTTGGATAAAAAGGCTTCTTGGATTAATACCAGAAGCTTCCTCAGAGCCACATTGCAGAACCTGCCACAGATCGGTAGACTCACACCACATCTGTGAGTTCAGTTTCTGCTCAGTTTTGCAAAAGCACTTTCTGGCTAAAGCAGCTTACTCAGGTATCAGCCCTTCCAGAGCAGCTGCATCCGGGTCTCTGTTCATTGTACTGCACTTCCTGAACAGCTTCTCATGTTCCTTGCTTTCAAAAGAAAAGCAGAAGCTTTCATATATTACATCACAGCGTAATGATTCTTTTTTGTTAGGCAAAAAAATACCAGAGAAGATGCAGTATCATGTCAAGCCAAAACCATTTAGGAGAAGAACTATGCTTTGTTATTTAATTCAGTGTGAAGATGGTATTTTTTTAATACCATAAGGTTTAGTGATTGCTCCTTCCTGAGAGTGAATTGTACTTTGATACGTGGGGAGGCCTGGCCCTGAACTGCCAAGGAAGTCTTGACTGTCTGACTCCCTCTGCCTCCGTGGGATGGGGAATTGGAAGGAAAAAGTGAGAAACTGTTTGGGCTGAGATAAATGCAGTTTAATAAATGAAAGGGGTAGGGGGAAACAAGTGATGCAAGTGCCATCACTCACTAGCAGCTGATGATGCCCAACCAGTCCCCAAGCAACAGCTGCCTTGGGAAAAAACCCCTTTGTTTTATTGCCAAGTGTGATGCTCTGTGGCATGGAGTGTCTTTTGGGTCATTTCAGGTCAGCTCTCCCGGCTGTGTCCCCTCCCAGCCTCTTGCCCTGCTGACTGCTGGGGGCAAAGTGAGAATCACAGGATGGGTAAGGTTCGAAGGGACAACTGGTGGTCATCTAATCCAGGGTGCCTGCTCAAGCAGGGTTCCCTAGACCACCCTACTGGGGATTGTGACCAGACAGTATATCTGCAGAGAAGGAGACCCCACAACCTCTCAGGGCAATCCATTCCAGTGCTTAGTCAGCCTCATTGTTAAGTTCTTCCTTGTGTTCAGGGGGAACTTCTGTGTTCCAGTTTTTGCCTGTTACCTCTTGTCCTGTTGCTGGGCATCACTGGGCAGAGTCTGGCCCGTCCTCTGACACCTTTCTGCAGATATTGATGAGATCCTCTCTAAGCCATCTCCAGGTTAAACAGGCCCAGTTCCCTCAGCCTTTCCTCAGTGAGATGCTCCAGTTCCTTCATCATTTTTGCCATTCTCTGCTGGAGCTGCTCCAGGAGCTCCACCTCTCTCCTGTCCTGATGAGCCTCAAACTCCAGGTGATCCTCACCAGGGCTGAGCAGAGGGGCAGCATCACCTCCCTGACCTGCTGGCAGTTCTCTTCCTAATGCACCCCAGGATCCCATTGACCCTCTTGGCCACAGGGACACGGTGCTGGCTCAGGGGCAGCTCATTGTCCACCAGCACCCCCAGGTCCTGCTCCCCAGAGCAGCTTCCCAGCAGGTCAGTCCCAGCCTGTCCTGGTGCCTGGGGTTGTTCTTCCCCAGGGCAGGACCCTGCATTTGCACTTGCTGGGTTCCAGGAGGTTCTCTGCCCATCTCTCCATGCTGTCGAGGTCCTTCCCAAGGGCTGCAGGGCTCTCTGGGGGTACTGGCTGCTCCTCCCAGCCTTGTGTCACCAGAGAACTCACTGAGGAGGCCTCTGCCCTCAGCCAGGCCATTGATAAATAAGTAAAACAGTCCTGGGCCAAGTATTGAACCCTGGGGGCCACCACTGGGGCCAGGCCTCCAACTGGACCCTGTGCCACCAAGTAGCAACCTCTGAGATCTGCCATCCAGGCACTTCTCAGTCCACCTCAGTGTCCACTCACCCTGTCCTCGCTTCTTGAGTTTGTGGATGCAGAGGCTGTGAGAGACAGCACCAGAGCCTTGCTGAAGTTGAGGCAGAACAACATCCCCTGCTCTCCCCTCATCCATCCAGGTTGTTTCATCATAGAAAGCAATCAGGCTGCTCAGACATGATTTACCTCTGGTGAATCCATGCTGACCTCTCCTGATTTCCTTCTTGTCCTCCATGTGGGTAGAGGTGGCCTCCAGAGTCGCCTCTCCAGGCGTTGAAGTGAGGCTGACTGGCCAGTAGTTCCCTAGGTCCTCCATCTTGCCCTTATTGAAGACTGGGGTGACATTTGCTTTCTTCCAGCCCTCAGGCACCTCTCCTGCCTTGCTATGATTCCAGCAGTTCTCAGCACTTGTGGGTGCATCCCATCAGGGCCCATGGACCTGTGGATTTGAAGTTTAATTACATGGTCTCCATCCAGTCCTCTCAGCCAAATGAAATTTCTTTCCTCTAGACCATCTCCCCAGTCTCCAGGCTGAGGCAGCCACAGGACCACATCTTCCCATGTATTTATTTTGGTTGTGATGCATTTGAAGAAGCCCTTGTTGGTACCCTTGACATCCTTAGCCAGGTTTTATTCCAAGTGGGCCTTGGCTTGCTTCATTGCTTGTGTTCAGACTCTGACAACATCCCAGGTGGCCTTTCCTGCTTCCACCTCATGGTATCTCCTGCCTGTGTCTGAGTTCTGACAGGAGCTATCAAAGAGAAAAACAGGCCTTGAATCTGTGATAGCACTGTTCACCAACAGACAAAACACTGATGTGTTCCCAGTGCTGTTTTGGTCCCAAATCCAAAACCTAGCGCCCTACAGGCTGCTGTGAAGAAAATAACACTTCCTGCCAAACAGATGTGGCGCAGCAGGTGAAAAATGTTCTTGAGGTTTTGTCTTCCTAAGTCTTGCTCTTATTGTCAGTTCTTACTATTTCTGTGTATGAATAATGAGAGACATCTGCATAACGTGTTGTATTTTGCATGGTCCATCAGAGAGGATCTAACTTTGTTCTTCAAGGTTGATTAGTAGATGGTTATAGTAGTGAGTCACTCATGTTTAGCAAACTCTTTAAGAAAGTGCTTTTCATTGTTGTTTTCTTCTGTGCTTTTGTTGAGACTGTCTCTCTACTTAAAGTAATCAACTTTTCTGGACAAGATTTATAAAAACTGGAGCTTCAGTGTATTTATTTCACCTTCTGGAAGAATGATCTACTGAAAGTAGAAGCTGTTACCAAAAAAACCCCACTTTCCTCGCTGGGAAAGTAGCTTGATTTTTAAACTGCCATGATAGAAAAATATAGCACATTTTATGCTCTATTTTTATTAATAAATCTGAAATAAAACTATTTTATATTGATACGTACTTGTGCTGATTCTTTGGAATACATTATGACAGAAAACTGCCAAAAGAAGTGGAACACAAGTGCAGGTAGTACTTGAAGTATTTTCCATCTTCATTTTAGACTTCTTCACCTGATTCTTCAAATGAGAACTCCCCAGCTACCCCGCCTGATGAGCAGGGCCAAGCTGATGCTCCACCCCAGCTTGAAGATGAGGAGCCTGCATTTCCACACACAGACCTGGCAAAGTTGGATGACATGATCAACAGGTATTTTCACACTTTTTTAAAAAGGTGTTGATGATTTGTGCAAACATCTTGATAGTGGAATCAGAATTTTTATATCTTTGTTTCACTGGACTTCATGAAATGCTTTTTTTGTTGGGTTAAAGTTGTAAAGAGAAAGAAGCTTGAAGCAGAATGTGGTTTTCTTTGGGTTGGTTAGTGTAATACTTGTCAGGGCATTTAAAAATCTATGTACTGAGCCTATATTTAAAAGCATTACAATGGGGCAAGAATTCTTGATTTTTCAGAAGCAGAATTGAAATTGGGTTTGTTTGTTTTTGAATATAGGCCTCGATGGGTTGTTCCTGTATTGCCGAAGGGGGAATTAGAAGTTCTTCTAGAAGCTGCTATTGACCTAAGTAAAAAAGGTAACTGAAAGACCTTTGATTATTGGAACTGGTGTGCAAAGTTCTTTTTTGTCTTTTGAATCCCTGGTGAAGGCTTAAAAATTGTTAATAATTTCTGTTACAACCTGGTCTTGAAGATTGTATCAGAGTGCTATGCAAAATCTTATGAGAACTTTAAAAAAGCCATGAATGTAGTTAGGAATAGGTGCCTTAGCACGAGCTGGGAAGTTGAATAAGCTCAGAGACATAAAAATCCTGTCATTCGTGTCATACCTGTTTTCTGTATTCACTTTGATATCAAACTAGTGGGTTTGGTCTTTATAGCAGATGCTAAAATGCAAAGAATTCTAGTTGTTTTTATTTTTTAATAAGTTTCTAGTCTACCTTTCAAATATCTTGCCAGAAATTTTTGTTCAGTTTTGGCACTTGTATGCTTCTAAGAATATCAGAGAAAAGTTAGAATTTTAAACAGCATGGCTTAGACTAATTGTCCTAGCAGTGCTTGCTGATGTCTGACTTGGGAGTAAGACAGTGTATGTGACTGTTAAATTGTACTGGTCAGATTGACAGGTTTGCCATGTGTTCTGCAAAGTTCTGTTCTCCTGGGAGATTGCTTGTGTTTGAGTAATAGCAAGAGTCACAGCAAAATAATTTTTTAGGATACCTGCATTTACCAGCTCTTTGTGTTTTGAACACAGCATTATACCAAGTGCCTGCTCTTTCTTCTGCATAGGTGCTGGCCCAGGACAACTTCATTTCCATGTTAATAAATGTTATTTTTAGGCAGCTTTAAGACTAAAGCTGATTGTGGTCATGATATTCTGGGTTGTCTTGATTGCTTAGTCTCTTTTGCTTTGGAGCACTCTGTGGAGAAACAGAAGTTAGGGTGCATCCTTGTGATCCAGCAAGGATAATGACATATTGTTGCCAACACTGATTTATCAGCTCTGGTTGTGCTTGGAATTGGTGGCTTTGTGTGTAGCTGGGTCTGGCAGGAATCCTCAAGCAAGTGTAGGATGCTCAAGGGATCACATCTGTTCTGAAGGGAAAAGAATGCCAGCTTCTCAAGAGAAAGTGCAGCCACCTTTGTGTCTGGGTGGTTGGAACAGTGCAGTAAGAAGAAATTATCTGCTTGTGATTTGTGAGAGAGTAGAACTATATTCTGCCAGCTGTTAAATCATCTTTAAAAAGAAAAACAACCCAAAACCTGAAAGCTGTCAATGCACTGAAGTAATAAGAGCAGAATGAGATTTCTAACTACTCCTGACATCAACATACTTCCCCAAAGCATCAGGCTTATTTGAAAGTTCCCCAGAAGAAAAGCTTATTTTTCCTGTTGAAGTTGTGAAAAACAGTGGAAACATATTCATTTGCTTTTGCACTTTGGTTTAATTAAGTTGTTGGTGTGCAATTCTAAAAAGTACCTCTGTGTTGCTACTTAATTATATTTCCTCTTTGAATGAATTGCTGTGTGTAAATGCTATGATTATTAGATAAGGGAAAAACAAGCAAAGCTCTTAAAAGCAGTTGTTTACTGTGCTGTCTTTACAGCTTCATCCTGGATTTTTGGAGGGTTTTTTGCTACTTGAAGTTACATGATGGCTAATGTGGTTCCTTTTAAATAACTTCCAGTTCCCAAGGAATATGATAGGGTGTAACTGACACTGTTTTGGTAGCTCAGAGCTTGGCAGACACTGTTTGAGAGTGGGATATATATAGAGAAGCAATAGAAATGGTTTGGTTGTGTCTATTTCTTAATAGATTTAACTGCTCCATTATCTCAGTAACATCTATAATTCAACCCTTTGCTACCTGTCTGTGGGAATTTTTCATATTCTGACAAGATGTGTTTCCAAAAGGAGGAACTGAAAGGATATACTGAGAAATAATCAGCTTTTGAATTACATAAACTCTATATTTCTGACTGTATCCTATTTAAATTGTGAATTAACAGAAACTAGAAAGACCCCACTACATGTTTTTGCAGGCACCATTTTCTTGTGGTTAGGGCTCTTAAAAACCTTTTATTCCTAACACAGCCCATGGCCATCAGCATTCTGGAGTGACTTCAGGGTAGTTACTTCTTTGTGACCCTGTCTATAAAATAAGAGTGGTATTTGCATTATCTTTAAACCTTTTCAGGAACTACAATTGGACATAACTAAACTAATTGAAAGTACTTATATGAATGAAATGTCAGCATTACCACCTTCAAGTGAAAGGAGTGAATTTGACAGAGTAGTGTGAATCCTGTTAGACTGTGACTTGCATTATTCCTGGCAGATGCACCCATTTATGGAAAATTCTCTTTTTATGTGTAGGCATCGATGTATTATTCTTTGTTAAACAATGAGCCATGAAACTATCAACAGATAGTGTGGAGTTACTTGCTGATAGAAGAAAACCTATTTGAAAAATAGCACTTAATAGCTAGACTGATGTTTATCTTCACAATAAATCTGGAATGCTTATGGCGTATTTCCAGTAATGAGATTTGCTCCAGAAGTAAATGCCGTGGTGAATTGGATCCTATAAATTTAAAAAATAAAAATTTGTTTCTTTTAAGGTTTTAGTTTTCTATAGGCCAGAATATTCTCCACACTTTCTTCAGAAGGATTTTATTGCTCCTGACATTTACACTCAGTTTTTAACATGCTGTCAGAACTTCACGTGTCACACACAAGCAAGATGCAAGGCAACTTCTGGAACTTATAACTAACTTAAACTGAAATGAGATTTCACTGCACAATGTAAACCTTCAGACTTGACTCCAAATCTGTGTTTTTGATGAATTGCATGGAATGAGAGAGAGAGGGAGGCCCTAGGGACAAAAAAAAATTAAATCTGTGTGTGCATGGGTGCGTGTGCATCCAAAAGCTAGGCCAGCCCAGCAATGGGAGTTGTTCCCAGCACCCTTGAAAGACCATCTCCATCTTTCTCAGGATGATTCATCTGCATTTCTGTGGGACCACTACTGAGTTCCTTACTGAAGCTCTATCTTCTGCATTTCCTTGAAATGGATATTTTTACCTGTTTTCACTCACTGGTTTTGCTGTTAGCAAGTAGATAAGAGAGAACATAAAGAAGAATTTTACTTACTCTTATTTTTGCTAGTATATCTATTGAAATATGTTGTAAACGTGGGGGAAAAAACCAACCCAAATCAAATGTTTTTAAAAACAATTTTAAAATTATGTAAAGCAGTAATTTTTGAGGTGGTTTTGCTAGAACATTAATCCAACGAGTTTATTGTCCATTTAAGCTTGTGTAAGTTTGTTTTCATCCAAGACTTGTTTAGAATCAATTCTGAAACTTTAAACACCAAACCTTTGAAGTCCAAATGTTGTGATTTAACCCCAGCCAGCAGCTAAGCACCACATAGCCACTTGCTCGCTGCCCCTCCACTGGGATGGGGGAGAGAATCAGAAAGGGAAAAGTTAAAAAACTCATGGGTAGGGATAAATACAGTTTAAGAGGTAAAACAAAAGCCTTCTGTGCCAGCAAAGCAAACCAAGGAATTCATGCACCACGTCCCATGGCTGGGCAGGTGTTCAGCCATCCCCAGGGCAACAGAGCTCCATCACATGTGACAGTGACTTGGGGAGACAAACAGCATCACTTCAAATGTCTTCCCCTTCCTTCTTCCTCAGCTCTGCAGGCTGATCATGACCCCATATGGCCTGGGATATCCCTGTGGTCCTTTAGGCTCAGCTGGCCCGACTGTGTCCCCTCCCAAATCCTTGTGCACCCCCAGCTTACTGCCTGGCACGGTGGTGTGAGGAGCAGGAAAACCTTGGATCTGAGAGCCCTGCTCAGCAGTAAGGAAAACATCCCTGTGTTACCAACACTGTTTCCAGCCCAAATCAAACACAGCCCTGTATGAGCTACTGAGAAGAACTTATCAACACCAGCACACCAGATCTGCTTTCAGCATGTAAAATGTTCATGTAACAGCTAATGAAATTCTATGTCTAATAGTTTGTTGTTCTTTCTTGTTTTAAATAGGCCTTGATGTCAAAAGTGAAGCATGCCAGCGATTTTTTCGAGATGGGTTAACAATATCCTTCACAAAAATCCTTACAGATGAGGCAGTGAGCGGCTGGAAGTTTGAAATTCATGTGAGTTTTTCAAGTTGTGTTTCTGAAGAGCGTGGTAATTTAAAAAGGAAGGAAACTGCCATTGTGATTAGGGGGAGACTGTAAAAGCTGGAGCTAATCTTTGAAACTCAGTAGCAAGTTGTGAGAAAACTCTTGTGTGCATGGATCTGGACAGGCAGTGGGGAGTCATCTTTCTGTCAGTGTTTCACTTTATTGCCTCCAGAGTTTTGGAAGGAAATAAAACATGAGAGATGATTTGGGGGAGAACTAGAACCATGTATGTTACAAGTTTATAGTTCATATTCGTTGTACAGTCCCCTGCCACATTCTTACTTGTTCTTTTTTTTATTAACAGAGATGTATTATTAACAACACTCATAGACTAGTGGAACTCTGTGTGGCCAAGCTGTCCCAAGATTGGTTTCCCCTTCTTGAACTTCTTGCCATGGCCTTAAATCCTCACTGCAAATTCCACCTCTACAATGGTACTCGTCCCTCAGAAACAGTTCCTGCGGGAGTCCAGCTCGCTGAAGATGAACTTTATGCCCGTCCTCCTGACCCACGATCACCAAAGGTGTGAGGGCCTTTCCAGAGCCCTGTGTTTTACTCTGTGCAGTGTTACCTAATGGCACAGCAGCTGTAGAGAAGTGTTCTTAGAGTGGGGGCAAAAGCCTTCTTCATTCTTCTATCACTAAGATGTTCTGTTGCTTATGACTCCTGATTTAATGTGCATTTCTCCTCTAACTCCTCCTGTCTTTGGTCCACCATCAAACTGTGTCACCTGTTTCTGTGGTAAGCTGGCACAACTCTGCTGGAATGACATTCCTGCTGTGTTAACTGGCTTGCTTGTATTTGCCAGTTGATGCATTTACCTTCTCCCTTAACATGAAATTTTGTAGGTGACACACTTTGAGGAGGAGATTATGTGATAAATTAGGAATTTTCTCTTCCTTTCAGTTTCCAGTGGTGGAAGAAATGTTTTTTAATTGGACATGAGATACCAGTGTCAGTGTGGTTTTTTCAGTGGCTTTGGTTTGGTTTTGTTTTGGGAGGATGTTGAAGGTTTGGGTTTTTTGGTTGTTTGTGTTCTGTAGTTGTGGTTTCTTGGGGTTTTGTTTTTGTTGTTTTATTTTTTTAACTGGAAGTGAAGATTAGCCATCTGTCCTGGTTCTTGAGTCTGAAGTTTTCAGAATTGATCTCCAAATGGCATTGATAAGACTTGAGGAGTTAACTGAATTTTATTTATTTTATATATATATATATACACATATATATGCACACACAACTTTTTTTTTACTTTTTTTTTTTTTTTTTTTTTTTTTTTTTTAGTTTTTTAAATTTTTTTTCTTTAGTTGAAGTGCTGACTATTTACTTGTAAGAACCAAGGATAAAACACTCCAGTGTCCTTCAACTTCCCTTGTGTTGCTAGTTGTGTTTAGAAGAATGTTACTTTGCATCCTTAATGTTTTTATATGTGACATTATCACATCTAGGACAAAGAAAACATACCAGAACTGTCAGACTTTCTGTAATAATCTAACAGCTAAAGTTGGATCTAAATTATAGTCAGTTTTATTCCTAAATAAATTTCTTGAGCAGCTCATCTACAGCATCTGCTCTTTGACATGATAACAGATATCCTGTTGCCTGTTTCTGAGCATTTCCTTAAAACTGAATATGTAAACTGTGTAATGACTGTTTTAAAACAAATGTTGTTATTAAAAGGTGCTTGAAAGTATTTCTGGATGGTACTTTGTGAATACCAGAAAATAACTGCTTGTTTTATTACAGGGTTGGCTAGTAGATCTTATCAACAAGTTTGGCACATTAAGTGGATTTCAGGTCTTGCATGATCGATTCATGAGTGGATCAGCATTGAATGTTCAGATCATTGCAGCTCTCATCAAGTAAGTTTTTTTCTAAATAATGATTTATGCATTTGCAAAAGCTGGACTCAGTATAAAATACTGTGCTAGCAGAAAGCTTAAGACTTTTATTGAAGCACTTCCTTTCACTCCATCTCTTCATTCAGCTGGTTGTGTCTGCCTTCAGCATTTCATGTGCTTCTAAGTAAATATGAGTTTCTTTAATTAATTGCACCTTATTTTCATAATGTTGCATGACTATTGATTATGACACTTTCCTTTTTTTCTTTTTTTTTTAGGCCATTTGGACAATGTTTTGAATTTTTAACATTACATACAGTGAAGAAATACTTCCTTCCAATTATAGAAATGGTTCCACAGTTTTTAGAAAATTTAACAGATGATGAACTGAAAAAAGAAGCAAAGAATGAAGCCAAAAATGATGCTCTGTCAATGATAATCAAATCTCTAAAGAACTTAGCTTCAAGAGTTCCAGGACAAGAAGAAACTGTAAAAAATTTAGAAATATTTAGGTTAAAAATGATTCTTAGGTAAGATGCTACTCCTAATATAATATGCCACTGGTGACATTTTTTTCCACACTTCTTACATTAAATTTTTCTCACAGGTTGTTACAAATTTCCTCTTTCAATGGTAAAATGAATGCACTAAATGAAGTTAACAAAGTAATATCCAGTGTGTCATACTACACTCATCGACATGGTAATCCTGAAGAGGAAGAGTGGCTCACAGCTGAAAGAATGGCAGTAAGTGCTCCTTTTCTGTGAAGTTCATTGCATAAATTTGGTTTCTCCTTTGTACTTCAACTGTAGAAGTAGCTCTATATTGTGGATCCAGCACACATTGTTTATTTTCATATATAGTGTTAAAAACATTAGGCATCATGTCATGGTAATAAAGCACTTTAGAGTGGCCTTTCTGTGAAAAAATGCTGCATTTGTGTCAAAGCTGCTGTTGAGAATTACTTTTCAGTGCTGCTAAAATCATGGTTCAAAAATGGATCATTGGATAGTGTGTGTTTCATATAGAGTTTTAAAAAACCCAGAGAAATCTAGATAAAACAAATGTGATTCATTTGCAATTGCAGTGTTGCAGTAACTAGAAATGTAATGGTCATTTAATTAAGGATATAGTCTGGCTTTGGTGCTTCTACTTTTTCTCATCAGAGTTTTAAGTGCTCTGTTTCTCACATTTCAGAAGCTGGATACTTCAGTACAGAAAACTCTAGATACCACACTTTTGTTTTAATCAATACTTTTGTATTATGAATACTGTTGCTTGAATGTATGTATAGGGAAGTATGAAAATAAGCAATTATAAAACTAAAATAAGAACTATTTTCTCTCAGTTTTTGTGAAATCTAGCTGTGCTAAGTGATTTTTACACTGTTCTGCCCCATCTTTCTGACTGGCCACCTGTTGTGAGGTTTGTAATCTACAAAAGAACATCTGACAAGAAAAAATAACTGCAGTTTTGACTTTTTAAAGCAGTAGGAGGAAATAGGTCTCTTTTTTACACATTTCCTACCTACAGTTTGGCATCTCATACAAGACCTGTGTTTTTAACTGAAAATGCCTAGATTCATTATTTCATGAGACCAGCTTGAATATTGTAAGTCTGATCAAGGACAGTGTTGGAGGTGGTGATGCTGTGGGTGTTTGTTTTCTCTGTCAGTGCTCAGAGCGCATCTTGCTTTGCTTCACTTGGAACAAAATGGTCTGACTGTGTCAGTGACACCACTGAGAAAATTGCATCTCCTTAAATATGACTTGAATATTTGCCTCTGGTTCAGTTAGAAACATTTCAAAACCCTAAAAGTGGCTGTACTTAAATAATCTTTTTATATTTCAGTCCTTGCTTAAGTCCTTTTTATGGGATCTGCTGTAGGTGTACCAGTAGAGTTAGGCATGTCATAAACAATTTGGTTTTGATACTTAGTGGCTGTGAATTGGAAAATAAAAATTTTGTTGCTTGAATAGAAGAGTTAACTCTACTCTTCTTCACATTGGCTTCTTATGTCTGAAATTGTTTGAACATTTTCCAATAATAATGCAGTAATATATTGGATTATTTTAAATGGTGATTTTTTTTGAGAGAGAGGAAATTAAAGATGAAAGCCTTTCTGTTGTGCTGCATCTTTTTTAATCTGTAACAGGTTGGATTTTTGTTTAGTAGTTTAAATATTAATGATGGCACCTGAATAATTTGAGATGGCACTACTTTCTTTTTATATTCAGGAATGGATCCAGCAGAACAACATTTTATCAATTGTACTAAGAGATAGTCTTCATCAACCTCAATATGTAGAAAAACTTGAGAAAATTCTCCGGTTTGTCATCAAAGAGAAAGCTCTCACTTTGCAGGATCTTGACAACATTTGGGCTGCACAGGTAAATAATTCAGCTGCTTGTCTGCTGCTGCACAGGAGGCATCTCCTTGTGTGTCGTGTGGGGAAGAGAACCTGGGCTGCTTCTGCTCTGTGTTAGACAAAGCCAAAGAAAATTTGAGGTGAAATGGTGTTTGCTTTTGGGGTCTTGGAGCTTAAAATTGTCATCTGAAGTGTCTCCAGTGGAAGGGGTCAGCCACACATAAATGTAAAGCCTGAGGGAACAGTTCAGAACATGGAGCAGAGATGATCCTTTTTAAGTATTAACAAACCTTCAGCATTGAGCAGAGGCATGATACACAATAGCTTAGTATTTTAAAATGCATGGAGAAATATGTGTTGCTAATCTCTGAGTTCCATGCAGTTGTGTAAGATTTTCCTGGGCAGAGTGTGATTAGTAAGGCTTATAATGATGACTGTTCTAGAAGTTATTTAGCTGCAAGTTCTTTTCCTTGTGTTGCAGTAATGATTTTTGAAAAGTTACCAATTTTGCAATATTGATGTTTTTACTTACATGGCTGGGGAGATGGATTTCCCTAGCTCTGGGCTGCATGATTCTAATACACAGACTAGGCAGCTGGAGAGACAAAATCATTGAGAATTATCAAGTACACAGAAAATTTAAAGAAAGAGGATTGAAACATAAATGAAGGGTAGTGAAACTCTGATTGTACAAAAAAGTCTTCAGGCCAGTCCTTCAAGTGTGGGAAGGCCAACTCTGGTTTCCAAGGCAGGGAGGGAGGGCTGTGCTGGTTTGGGCAGGGACAGAGTTACATTTCTTCATAGCAGCTTCTGTACTATGTTATCTGAACTCTGAGTTTTCTCACTTTCCCCCTTGTCACTCTCTTCCCCCATGGCACTGTGGGGTGGAGAGCTGGGTGAGCAGCTCTGTGGTGCTCCTTTGCCAGCTGGGTTATACCCTGACAAAGGCCAATACAAGTTTGGTTATTTTGGTAACACAATTTACACGTGTTCATGCTGTTCTGAGACTAGAACAGTTTGGCTTAAATGGACTTAATTTCAGGTTATATTTATATAAGGGAGATCTCTGGTGTTGCAAGTAATTTCATCATGCCTAGGCTTCAGTTCTAGCATGGCAGTAACTGCACAGGCTGAAACTCAATACAGTCTTTTCTTATTATCCCAAAGGCCTGTTAAGAAAATTTCATAATGCAGCAGAGCAATGCACAGATTACTTGAATTAAGGTCTGGGATCATACTGTTAGTTTTTATCTTGCAGTCTGTAGGTCTTTCCACACTACAAGATACCTGTGGAGAAAAAAAAAAAAACCCAAACTTTGAGAGGTTAGTTTGCTGTTAGTAGGCCTCTTTTACCTATTTTAGAGCCTCACTTTTAATAAGATGAGGAAAAAGTCTGAAATTTGGGAAGAAAAGTCTTCCAAGCAATTACCTTGCTCCTAGTGCTTGGAAATAGGACATGTGGATTAGCTAGTGTCAGTCAAACTTTCTACCCTTCCAGAAAAATGTGAATACGTTGAACCCTTAAAAAATGGGGATAGTCCACCTTACTATTTGGAAAAAAAACTAGGAGTAATTTCAGAAGGAATGTTCCATGCCCTTAAATTCCCAGCTTGTTCTGCTCACTTCTTATGCTATCAAGTAGGTGGCTGTGCAGTGCTCTGGCTGTAATTTTGCCCTGTACTTTTTTGGTGTGAAAGTAACTCTTATTCAGGTGGATGGTTTCACTGTGGCTTTAGCCATGGGACTATAATGGACTAAAAAATTAAGAATACTAAAATTTGCTAATACAGAATGATTTTCACCTACTTCACTATTGCCTGTGTATAGTAGTTTTTAGAAGTTCTTATTAAATGACTGCTCCTGAGAGCAGCTGGGGCATGAAATTCAGTAGTGAGGAGTTGATTTACTGTGTAGCTTTATATAACAAGCTATTTTAGCTTGGCCTCAGTGCAGCAGTGGGGGGGTTTTGCTTTCAGGCTCAAGCACTTGTGTTGCTGCCTGGCTTTAGAGGCTCAGCCTGCACCTGAGACACTTTAGTATTACTGAAAGTAATGCAATTATGCTGCTTTTGCCTTTCAAAGGCAACCTAAGTTTTAATTTTATTGAAGTGTTTTCATGTCTTACAGAGCCAGTGCTCACAATATAGGAGTGCATTTGATGAAAGGAATAGTGTTGTAAGTTTCTAAATGCAGGCATTAAGTTGCAGGGGAAGATGCAGCTGTACAAAATACAGAATGGCAGAGGCTGAGGTCTCATGACTTGTGTTCTGGAGTGTTTAACTGGAACTTCACAGGCATTTCCCTGTTCCTGTGCAGCAAGCTGGCAGGTCACACACCAGGTTCCTTACCTCCTCCCACTGTCTGGTTTTGCTTCCCCAGACCCTTCAGTGCTTTACAGTTTCCCCAGATCTGTTAAAAACCTCCCAAATCAGAGTTTTTACCTGCTTTATTCTTGCTTCCCCCAGGAGTTGGCCACATTTCTGTATTATAGATGCTCTTTCTGCCTTGCATGCATTCAGTTTTTCTTTCTATCCAGGAAATGATCTGGCAAGAGGAAAAAAATTACATGATGTTTTCCAAAGTCAAGTGGAATTATGGTTTTAGTAATTCCCCCTCTTGTAATCTGACCCATAATGTGAAAACAAACATTGCTGCTTAAAATGACTTTTTTTAAAACAAAAATTTATGACACCTTATAAAAAATTTAAGGCACAGCATGTAACAAAGCTGTTAGTCTGGGTTTGGTTTTTAGTTTTGGTTTTAAATTACTGATGGAAGCTTTTAGTAGGAATTGAATTTCAAAAGTGCTTATACATGTATTTTTAATAGTGTACAAGATTAATTACATCAGAATGTGTATTCTAGGTATTTGTTTTGCATTTTTTATTTCTCACTTACAACAAAAATTTCTACAGTAAATCAGCTATTGATTCTCATAGTCCACATTTGTTGGTTTTGACTGCAAATGTAAAGTACAGGATGTGTTTTCCAGCCTGGGCAGAAAATTTTCTTCATGCTTGGAGTTAAATGGAACTAGCTTTTTTTGCCCTCATTGTCTTCCTCCTTAAATGTCAAAATTGTGATGTACACAACACTCTCAGTTAAAACTGTGTCTAGTATAAAACTCAGCATCTTGTCCTTAGTTGTTTCATTGCTGGATTTGTAACTTTAAAAGATGCTGGACTTTAAAACATTGTCTGGTAATGAGTTGTTTGCAATAGAAGGCTTTAGTTGTCTGTGAATCCACTAACACAAAGGAGGTACTTCAGCCTGAGAAACTGGTGAAATACTAAAAATTGATTTACACCTTAAAATACCTCAGTGAAATTCAGAAGTGGATTTTGAGTAATTTGTTATAAAAAAAACCCCAAACCATAAAAACCCACACAAAGCAACATAAAAATACCAGTTTGTAAGTTAAAATACCCTTTTAGATTTTCCTGTCCTCTATCCCAGTTTGATTTTGTAGCAGGAACAAAAAAATAAATATTTTGATGCTGCAGTATTTATGGTCTAAATAAATACTTGTATGCACACATACAAAGCACACTTAAATACTTACACTTAAAAGGGAAATCTAAATATTGTGAATTCCCAGTGAAGTTTTCAGTTTGCTGCTCCCACAGCATCAGCTTTTCTTGCTGGCCACCTCTAATAGTCTTCCTTATAAAAATTATGTAGAATGTCTTGCTGCTTGACTTAATATGAACTTTTGGTGGATTCTTTTTCTTTTCTTCCTGACAGGCAGGAAAACATGAAGCCATTGTAAAAAATGTGCATGATCTCCTTGCAAAATTAGCTTGGGATTTCTCTCCTGAACAGCTTGATCACCTGTTTGATTGTTTTAAGGTAATTTTGTGTTTTGACTGTATTCAGGAAATGGGTTGTGAGGGTGTGTGTAAATTTGTGGCTTTTTCACTGTTTTTCTCCTCTTTTAAGATTTGCTAAGTTTCTGTGTGTTAAAACACTTTTTACTGTGTAGCAACAGTTTGAAATATTTAATTCTAGAAAGGCTGTTCTTTAATGAGCACTCTTTGTGAGATTTTCTGTTTACTTCCTGTGTAAAACAAAGGCCTCTTATTTTTGTTTAGGAGACAGTTTTGTTTTCTGGTTTGAACACTTCAGGATAATGCAGGTCTGTGAAGACTGTAGTATTAAAGTTAATTTAGCAATCCGAGGAATATAGAATTTTCCAAATAAAATAAGTTACTTGTCTTAGATACCTTTCTGCATTTGTTCCAAATTAAGAAGTGTTGGTGATTTAGTAAATTATCTTTTTCTCCTGGCATTAGAGTAGGTTTTGTCAGGTTTACTGGGCAGTGCTACTTTTGATCTTTTAAGTAGAGGAGATCAAGGACTTCCGTTCCCTGCTCCCCCAACTTCCTCTTTATCATGTAATAACTTTTCTCTATTTAGCTTACATACAAAATGAAACAGTCTCAGGAAGATAAAGTTGAATGTTTATAAACACACAGTGATTTGTTTGAAACGACAAAACAACTTGTTTCTGAAAGTTTATGTTATTCACTGGCTTTTATTTGCAGCTTCCAGTAGTGGTGCTCTCTGGCTTGTTTCACTGTTTCACTTTCTGGACATGATCTGCTGTACTGCTTGAAAATGCAAGCCAGCTTTGTAGACTCTATTTTCTCTTTTTAGATAAATGCATTATAGTCATATTTTGGCTTACATGCAATTTGTGCTTTGTTTAGTGTGGTCCTGTAGTTTGGTAAATGTGGGTCTAATGTTCAGCTACTTAACCCAGTGCTCAGAAATGCTGTGTATAAACTGTTGTGTCTGACCTTGAGAGATGGATATGAAATGATGGCATATTGAAAACTTATTCAGGAGAAGGTTAATGGAATGCAGGGGCCATGTGTTTCAGTCTGATTCAGAGGCATGAATGATACTAAAGTTTTACTTATGTAGTGATTATAAGTTATTTAAGAAATCTTTTAAGTGTAAGCACTTTTGTGAAAGCATTTAAAAGAAACAGCTGAGCCCACTCTGATTGTTGGTGCAGTTGTCAATGATAATGTTAACTTTTACAAACACATCTGTGATGTTTGAATAAAGAGCCCTCTCTTTTTAAGCTTCAAGGTGAATATGCTGTAGATGTAAATATAATACTGAAGAGAAGAGCTCTTCAGTTGTGTCTGGCTTATGTATTGCTCTAATTTGCTATTCATTATTAATGACAGGAATTAATGGGAAAGTTCTTTATGTAGTTGCATCACTTTATTGTTGCATTGTTTGTTAGCAGTGCTGGTTATGTGTGGAATTTTTAAAAAAAGACTTTTATAATATTTTTTTAAAATCCTGCCTTAGGCAAGTTGGACGAATGCCAGCAAGAAACAGCGTGAGAAGCTGCTGGAGTTAATTCGTCGCCTTGCAGAGGATGACAAGGATGGAGTGATGGCACACAAAGTGCTGAACCTTTTGTGGAATTTGGCTCACAGTGATGATGTGCCAGTTGATATCATGGACCAGGCTCTCAGTGCCCATATAAAAATCTTAGATTACAGCTGTTCACAGGTGAGTAAACCAGTATGAAATCAGTCTCTGAGTTTCCTTCCGCTCCCCACAAAAAATTCAAGCTATTTGGTAATTTAACAGAAGTGTTATTTACATAAATTTGTATGGTTCTATCAACATCCTAGTACTTTAAAAATGCTACAGGACATATTTTAATCAACACCATTGGTGCTTTAATGGGAGAGAGAGAGTGTAATGCATTAGTTTGCCTGTCTTGTTGTAGTTGGTGATGTACTGTAATTAGCACACTGGAAGAATTGGAAAAGAACCCTACCTAGGGAGAAAGAAAAAGCAATCCCCCTCCCCACCCCCTTTGCTCTTTCCCAAACTTCTGCTAATTTGTTTCAGTGGGTTTTGTTGCACTTTTTTTTGTGCCAGTAAGTCCTTATCTGTCGTGTATGTTAGAAAGGACCTAGCAAGATCCTTTTTATACTATGATACACTCTCCTTCCCTCCCCAAACTTCTGTGAAAGTCTGTCAGAGTAGTAATTAATTGTGGTTTGAAATGAATCCATTATTCATCTTGTTAAGAAACAGTTTCTCATTGTTTTATGACAGTGAGTAGAAATAAATGGAAGAAGAAAGGAAATCATTTAAACACTTGTTAAATAAGTAGTGCTTGAGTGCAGGGAGTTTGTAACACACTCTTAGCTTCTGCCAGCCTGTGGTGCTGCTCAGACACTGCTGTTGTGCTTTCATGCTTCAAAACTCAGGTGATCCAGTATTTGTTTGACTTTTGAGTGCTCCATGTTGGACACAAAGAAAGGGAATTGGGACAGTTGTGCAATATGCTTGATTTTGATGATAAACTGCTGTTCTTTAAGGATCGAGACACACAGAAGATCCAGTGGATAGATCGCTTTATAGAAGAGCTTCGCACAAACGACAAATGGGTCATTCCTGCACTGAAACAAATTAGAGAAATTTGCAGTTTGTTTGGTGAAGCACCACAGAACTTGAGGTAAGAATGGGATTCAGATAAAATTTTGTCTGTTGAAAGTTGGATGGGCTGAAATTAAATTTTTTTTTGCAAGAGGTCTGGAAAGTCTAGGTAAAACCATAACCTGTGTTGGAAGATGGTCTTGAGTTTGTTCTAGTGTGTATAAATAGTGTCTAAACAATCAGACACCTAAGTTTGGTAAGAGAGCATTAACTGCTTCTTCATACATGTTTTTAATAATTTTTATGGTAATCTAGTGGAAAATCTGGATTTCTTTTACTGTTATTAATGGAATTTCCTGCCTAACAATGGAATTAGCTTACAAAGCATAAATATGTTTTATGTGCCTATGTGGCTGCATGCACACACATACATACACAAACATAGCTACCCATCCTTGATCTTTGATAATAAATTCTTGCAGGTCATCTAGTTCAAATGCTTAAAATCAAAGGTAGCTTTCTGGTCTGGCTGAAATTCTCTACTGATTTTCTCTCCTGAATGGAATAGATTAGAAATAAATTAGAAATTAGAAATTTTATTTTATTGGGGTGAGGGGGTTTGTTTGTTTATTTTGTCGGGGGTTGATTTGATGTTTGTTTCTGAAAGGAAGAAATAATGAGAAGGCATTATCAGTTTGGACTTGTTGAAGTATACTTGATTATTTTAATTATTTTTAATGTCTTCTCAGTAAAAAAGACTGAGCCGCTAAGAGTATTCGTATTCACATCAGAATTTTTACATACTCCTGAAAAACATTGTTGGCTTATCAGTGCTGCACAATTGCTTTGTTTTAATTCTTGTAAGCAGATAAAGTATTCAAGTCAATATTGCTATTACAGTCAGCTGACAAAAAGGATCAAATCAGGGAAAGCTGAGGAAAATAAGCTGCAGTTTGCACAACACTCTCTTCTTACTGATAGCATTTTCAGGAGCTGTGATAATGTTGCATTCCTGGCTTCTGGAGTTTTATATATTCATTTGGTTTGCAGCATACTTCTCAAATTTTCAGTATATTTCAATTCCTTGCAGTTTTTCATTAATGATTGTTTGAAGTTTATCCAAAAAAGTCACGAAGTTTTCTGCCAATTAGCAGAAAAGTCTGTTTTCTGTGTTGTGGCATCCTTAATCTTTTTTGTGCTGCAAGATCCAGGCAAACCAAGCTACCTGCTTATTCAAGTTGAATACTTTTAGCACAGTGCCTTAACAAAGATACTTTGCTTTAAGTAATTAATTACTGAAGCACTTCAAGCATTCAAGGCACTGATTTAGGTTTCTGCTCCAAAGTAATCTTGGGAGGAACTAAACTTTTTTTGATTGTGGAAGTGTAGGTTTCCTGTATGTTCTATGTTCAATTAAATGGTTTGAATGTCTCTCCTCTTTTTTTTTTTTTTTAATCTGACCATATCTTCCTCAGATTTCAGGGCAGTCTGCATTGCAGTACGTAATAGCACCTTATTTTTATGCCGAATTTGAAAACAAATATGTCAGGAAAGTGAACTTGTAATTAAAAGATTCAATCAAGGAACTTAAAATGATTTGTTAGCAAGATACTGTTGAGGGAGTTGTTTTAGTCAGGTGATGTTACTGCCCAGGTGACTGGGAAATTTGCAAACACAGTTTTGAAATAATCGGTGACTTCCCAGTCCTCTGAGTTTTCTCATAACTCTTAATATTGATACAGTTTGGAAACTGTAATGCATGCATGCAATACCTCTTCCTATCAGCTTCCCTTATTTGACTTAAAACTTTTAACATCCTTCTAGAATTTGGAGTGAAAATAAGTCCAAACAGGTATTTGTGACAGCTGCCTCAAAAACATGTCACAGAGCACATATTCTTTATGCTACTCTTTTGAGGTGGGTCAGCTGACTGGCACTGCCAATGGAAAGTTCAGTCCAGATCAGGAAGTGCTGCTGATTCCTGGCAAAAATCTGTATAAATTATCCTATGCCATTGGCACTGTAGAAATTCTTTTGAGGGGGAGGTTTTAATTGTTGCTAGTTATTCATGCAGTTGAACAAAGTGATGAATTGGTTATACAATTGCTGTGGCAAAATTTAGCTCCCTGATCACAATGAAGTGCTACATGTGTCAGGAAGTTCAGCTTAACCAGAATTTCAACAGAAAATAATATTTATGTAAGTACAAGGACTCTTATGGGTGCAATGATGCTTATTAATCCTTAGGAATAGTCACCTTTATTACTCATAATACTGACCTTTAGTTTACAGATAATGATCATAATTCTCTCTGTGTTGGGTGGTAGAGCCTCCTGTAGGCCAATATCAAATGCTTAAGGTTGACCTGTATCTACCTGAGCAGTAAAAGACCAATCTCTTAACTTATTTGCCCAGGAGAATTAACTCAACAGTGAGAGTTCAGTGGTTTCATAGTGCTTTAGGGCAACAATGATGCTTCAAGTCACTTTTTACCCTAAGTAGAAGAATTTGTGGGAAGTGGTTGCTACAATTTGGATTTTTCATCTGAATAATCTGCACTCTTTTAGTGGTACATAGCATTTGTTCAGTTGGCACAACTGTCATCTTCAAAAGCTGAGTTACATATGTAGTATTATATTGGGTGAGTTATATGTGCAGATAAATAATTCTTTTTATTCCATTTAAATTGTTTGGAATTTTGCCTTTGCCAGTTTGCCAGTATTTTTCTAACAAATAAGCATTCTAGCTATGTCCTTTCTCATAATCCAAAACACTTTGTTATCTCTTTAAAAATGTTATTTTTTCTTTTTACACATTGACTTTTGGTATCCATTGAGTATAACACAATGAAAATATTAGTTCTGCTGTTAACTTCAGTTTTTCAAGCTCCTCAGTTATTGCTCATTAGTGAATGTCTAGTAACTAATGTGTAATAATATTAAAGGTTAAATTATTGTGTCCCAGGGACAATGTCATATTAGTCTAATCTTAGATGCATAAGGAAAATTTTAATTGCATGTAGTCTTTGTCTTAATGCTAGAAAATATTCTAGAAGCTCTTGTCAATCAGCTTTTTTTCCTATGCATAAAGACAATCATTGTGCCTTTGAGTCCATCCTAGCAATGGATCAAAATAATATTGGAAATGTTGCTCACAATCACTGTTAAAACTCAGAGCACATAATTCTAGTTATTTCAATCATTCAGCTTTTCAAAGTCATTGCTAACCAAGATGGATCCGTGTGCAAATGTACTCTTTGTGCATGTGGCTGAGAAAGGAGAGAAATAAAAAATACCTAACACAGAACATTGTAGTCTTGTGCTGATAAAGATTTGGTTTTGCTGTACTGTTTGAGATTGATACAAATGCATAATATTATGAATATAAATGCACACTCTAATATCTTTGATTCCACAAAATACCCCATCTTGGTTCTGTTTGTTCCTTTAGTTGTTTGATCATATGTATTTCCCAAATAATCAGTGTTCTTCTTTTCTGTTACCCTTTGTGAATACAGTTCCCTGTCTAGAGGTAACATCTTGGGTAACCACTAAAATAAACTTCCAGCCTTTTGCTGGATTTGCTGCTGCTTTATTCTCATAAGGAGGTTGGTGGAGATGGAATGAAACATAATTAGAAAGTTTCTTAAAGTGAAAACAGAGAATGTTTTGAATCTGTGAAGTCCTGTATGTTTCCTTTTTTCATGCTTTCATCCATTTTGTTTTCTGTCTGAGAAATGTCTGGGTATTTGAGTGTTTTTCAAACTATTTTAGAAAATTTTGCATGTTATGAAATTTAATCTTCTGAAAACCACAGTGCTTAGCAGCCCAAAGTCTGTTGGTTGCAGATAACAAAATTACTGGCAGGGTATTGATGGCTTCTGTCTTTTAAACCCAGATGGACACTGATCAGCTGATGCTGGAACTGGGATTTCTTGCCTTCCCCACTGTTCTCTGAAGGTGTGGAAGTGCTGTGGGGTGCTGTGGGCCATGTGGTATGGACACCCTCTTTCCCAGGAAGGGTGGGAATTCCTACCTGTAATCCACTCAGCTCATTCTGAGGTCTGCTTGTTTAAGTGTTGAAAGAAAGGAGAACAGTTTGGAAATCAGATCTTTGTTTCTTAGGGCAGGCTATGGGATCAGCTGAATGGGAATGAGGAATGCTGCTCTTCCCCCTGACACCCACTTTTTTTCTCTCTTTGCTGTGGAAGAGCAGTTCTGGTTTATGCAGCCAAGATCAGTGCTCTGATCTACAGCTGCAGCAATTGAGAAATTGGAGAGTGTTCTGCAGAGGTGATGAGTCCTTAGGCTCTAGAATCTGATAGTGTTCATGGCATGTGGGTCTTGGACACAAGCTCTGTACTTTGCTTCTGTCATCTGAATATTTCTAGTGTTGTTTAAGAGAAGCATTTTTGGTCAAGTCTTGATAATACATTTGAATTACAACAATTATTTATTTGGGATATTTCCTTTCTTGAACTTCTGGGGGGCTTTTAGGTTATATGCTCTGTGTAACAGGTTTTTTTGCTTGTACCAACATTTTCCCACATAGTTATTGTTAGGAAAAAATCAATACTATTTTTAGGGTTTTTTTAAGTATTGAAATAATTGGTTTGCTTATTGGCTAGTGTACTTTGACTATGGTAATGAGTTTTGCTTGGTGTTTTAATGTTAAATGTAGAAAAGAATATCAGATGGCTGTGGGAGAAAGCAGGGTCATGCATATTGTAGTTATACTGTAGTTGAAGGTCTACTGTGCATTTTGGGCAGGTGTTTGTTTGTCTTCTGTCTTGCTGCAGATATTCTCTCTCCAGCACACTGAGCTGCTCCCATTGCTCTGATGTTTTCCATACATTTTGTAACCATAAAATCCTCATAAATGGCCTGCTTTAGTAACTCCTAAGAACTGTTGATACATCAGAAGATAGAAAAATATTGTCAGAAACTTAATCTGTGTTCTGTTTGAGATATTGTAGGAAAATTTGGATCTTGCATCAAAGATTTGTCTCTTAAATTGATTTCTGAGCTATTTGATGCAAAGCTTCTTTCTCTCCCTCTAACACTTGTATTTTAATTCCAGTCAAACTCAGAGAAGTCCCCACGTGTTTTACCGACATGACCTAATCAATCAGCTTCAGCACAATCACGCCCTCGTCACACTGGTTGCAGAAAACCTCTCTGCCTATATGGAAAGCATGAGGCAGTATGCTAAAGGTGAGTTTGAACATCAAAGCTGCTTTGTGGAGTATAGGAGAACTCCAGTTGAAAATGGAGTTAAAAGTAAATTCCCATAATAAAATAACTATTGAGTTTATTTATTTAATTTTCAAGCATCTGTGGGGTTAATAGCCTTTGTGGTGACTGGGTAAGAAAAGCTTAAATACTAATTTTTTTCTTTTTTATAATTGAAAATGTGTGTTTTACAGCAGAATATGAGAAAGTGGCAGCCATTGTTTGTGTGTGGATTGATAAAAATCATCTTGCCCTACTTAGTTTTTTTTGTGGAAGGTTCTAGTAGTAAACTTCTAGTTTGAATTTTGAAGGCTCCTTTGACAAGTTTTTTAGTCACCTCACTTTGCAGCCAATATTTGGAATTTGGCAGGGAGAAGGACTTCAAACCACAGGGATACCATTTATTTTTCCTGTGTAACTCCCACGTCTGTTCAGGCTCTCTCACTTTGTTTGTTATTAGCAGCACTTGGGCAGCACATTGTGTCAGTATTTTTGTATTTTAGGCTACATCCAGCTCTTTGCTGGTGAATTTACCCTCTTACTCTGGATTAATTTTTAGCTGCTGAGGTAGAAGCATGGAAGTGAAGGAGAATGGTGGGCCAGGAAACTTGGTACACAGGACCACAGTTCTTTAAATATAAAATTATGCCAACAGAAGTGAAAGGAGGAGATTTACACTCCTCCTTCCCCACCACTGGCTTTACTGACTGCAACCAAGGACTGTTCTACCCTGGCCTCATAACAGCCTGGCAGCCTTTCTGTTGCATCTCAGAAATTACACAGGATGTTCTGCAGGGATTCAATGTAGGTCATTCAGGGAGGACAGGATATTTGTACATGGGAGAGCTTGTAGCTACCAGTGCACAGGAAAGTGGCCTTTCTGGAATTCATGAGTTTTGGAGGAAAAAAAAAAAAAAAAAAAAAAATATTATATAAGAGATATCCAAAATACATACGTACATACATGGACTTTTGTAAATAATGGTGCTCTGTGAAGATGGTCACTTCAGCAAGGTGTAGGCCAGTGAGAATAACATTCAGTTAAATCTACACACTACAACTGTATTTCTCCATTCAGGAGTACATGGAGGGGTTTACCCTAATTTAAGTACCTTAACTAATTATAGCATTGCACTAATAATGTTAAAATAATACTAAATTATTTGGTCTGTTTTCAGTACTAGTGTAGGAACTATTTTTAATTTATCTTATTTTTTAATTCTCAAGCCAAAAGGTTGTTGAAAATACTGTTTACATATCAAATTGTTGAGGGCAGAAGAATTAGGCTGATGACTTGCATGATTCTTTTCCTTTCCCAAAAACCCACATTGCCCTGCCCCTCCCCAGCTGTAGTGACTCAGTTAAGCAGTGATACAAACGTCTTCAATGCAATAGGAATTACAAGTGTGTAAAGGGTTTAAATTTAATCTAATTACAAAGCAATTAAAATGCTCTTTCTTGAGATGAAGCTGCTGCAGAACTTCTCATTTGTATCAGAGTACAGAAGCAGAAGAATAATAGTGTGGGGTTTTTTATTAGGCACTTTATTACGTTATTAAGGGCAACCAGGAGATCTTCCTCATGTTCCAGATACTGTGCTCAGACTGTAATCCACAGCTCCTGTGCAAAAACTCTTTTATTTTCAGTTTTATATACTAAATAGAGCAGAACATAGAATGCTGTGATGTTTGTCTTCCATGCCTTCATGGAGGGGGAGAAAACATGCCAGGGGGCTACATAAATGAAAGGGGAAGAAAGAAGATTATGCATGTGAAATCAGAAAGAACTGGAAGCTGTAGAATTAAGCTTGGCTGGAGAAGGTGAATGAGACAGAGAGGGAAAATTCAAGGCAAAGATACAAACAGCACAGGTCAAACAAATGCCATAGAAATAAAAAATCCAGTTGTTGACAGATATTCTTGGCACTTAACACTGCAATTACTATGTAATTTGGATATTTTAAAATTCATTTTGAATTTGCCATATGTTTGTTTTCCTTGAAGTCTTCCCTAGTTGTGTTTGGTGATGGAAAGCAGTGTTTCTAGTCTGTTATTCACTAATGCATAGTGTTTTCTGGGATACTCCCCTTTAATATGTTTGCCCTTTTAGGGTTAAAGGGAAGCCTAATCTGTATTTCTGAATTTTTTCGATGCTCTGTGGTTTTCCCTTCTCTTGAACTCATCCTTTCCTTCAGCTCTGCAAAGTTCTCCATGAGATAACTACTCGTGGATTTTGTAGTCCTGAAGGAGGTCACAGTTTCATCTTTTCAAAGATGTATCAAAGATCTTTTGAAAATTTCAATTCTCCTTTATCTCTCTTTTTCTGCAGTAATAAAAAGTCCAAAGTGTTAATGAAATGGTTTTGTAGAAACTGTACCATATGATCTTCTGTGTGTGTTTATAACTAATTATACTTAAATTTTTAACCAGTTGTTTTCTGCTCCAGTGTATAAGAGGAATTTTTAAAGAGATTACACTTTGACTTGCTGTGGGATGTACAGAGTGGAAAATAAATCTGGGAGATGTAGAAAGAATGTGATACAGAAAATATTTAGGGAAGTTGAATTTTTTATAGTTCAGAGTTTTTCAGAATTCTGAAGTACATCTGCACTCCCTGTCTGCAGCTGGCTGGATTTGAGTTCTCCTGTTATTGCCACTATTGATGTTGTGTCTCTGAATTAAACTTTAGTCAGGAAGAAAAAGCTCAGGTAGTTCCCACAGTGAAAATAAACCAACACCAGCACCTCCCCCTCAACAAATGAAAATCAAACAAAAAACCCACCCTCAACACCCAGCACTTCATGTAATCTATTTTAATTTCACTGCAATATGCTTATCTACTCTGATTTTTTTTATGCTGGAGACACAGCATAATTTTTCTGATGGAGACACAGCATATTTTACTAATTCTTAAATCATTTTTGTTTACATACTTTTATGTTATTTCTTCAGATTCTTTTCCACATTTCTCCTTTTGCTAATTGCTCATTTAAGATCATTTCATGGAAGTTATGATTTAATTTTTAAGGATTTCTGATGAACATAATGTCTTCAGTTTTGCAGACATTAATTAACTACTGGTCTTCTGTTTCCCCTGCCACTCAATATTTAAGGTAGTGTAGCTTTTACACTTGAATATAGAGAGGAGAATTTATGACAATTATTTTTCTCTTTATTTTGAAGCACTGATGTACTTATTTTTGCCCCTGCCTGATGTGATAAGAGATACTAATTTTCAATTCTGGAGATAAATTTTAGTGTTAGTCTTGATGTTGTCATGAGATGGTCTGCCATGGCTGGGTCACCTTAGTTAAAGGCAATCTTTGCAAATAAAAATAAAGCATTAATTCATTTCTACTGGAACTGTCATAATGAATGTGTCATGATGAAATACTGCTGATACAGATGAAGGCTCTTTAAATAAAAAAATCTAAACAACAGCCAACCACCAAACAAAACTACACCAAAATTTTGTTCTTGTGAACAAAATTGCTGCTTGTAAAGAAAATATTATTATGAACTTTGACAAAATACAGGTAAAAATTTGACTTCATGCCTTACTTTCAAAAGAAGTCTTCTGTTTCAAGCTTGTCAGTATTACCAAGCATTTGGGGTTTATGTTTGGAAACTTGCAGTAAAAAAGTTGTCTTATACTTTATTCCTCTGAGTGATGTTGTGTGCATAGCTGTGTATAAAGGTGGTAAAGAAATGGAGTAATGATTTCCTCTGGAGTGGAAAAAGCCTGAAAACAGAGAAATGAAATTTTGGACAAGATGCTGTTTAACAAAACTAAAGCATCCTCAGAAAAAAAGCACTGGATAATTGAGTTATATAGAAGTCAGTTTTCAGCTGACTTCTGACTTCAAACTGACTACTTGAAAATAGGAAAAAATTATATGAATAAGTAGAGTGCAAGGTCATAATTGTTCTGTAGCACTTTCACTCTTCTGAACAATGAGCACATAATTGTTGATTTGATTATAGACCTCAGGAGTCTTTGCCTGTGTTTAGCATAGGAGAAGCATTAACTGGGGGCTGACTGCTGAAAACTCTTTTCACACGCCTCACTGAAAATGTTCTGGCCTTGGATTATATTCAGAGTACCAAGTCTTCAAACAACTCCTGTCTTCTGGAGCCAGCATCACTTTTCTGGGTGTGTTGTGTAATGAAATGTTTTATTTGCAGAGCATGGTGAGTATGATCCTCAGACTGTGAGACCAGGAAGCCGCTACAGCCACGTGCAGGAGGTGCAGGAGCGACTGAACTTCTTACGGTGAGCTTTACCGTGAACGTTTCTTTAACTTCTTTAGGAATATTTTCAATGATTTTTGAAGAAAAACACTTTGCATTTCTCTCTCTTCTATAGTTTAAATTTGTTTTGTTAACTTCTTTCAAAACTCAGATGCAAAAATACATAGAATGTTTTTGGTTTGGTTTGTTTCTTTTCCTGGAGGGCTTTTATGCTGCTGTTGGATATATGAAATAAGGTTTATTAGACTATTTGGAATCCAAGGCTCTTATTCTGCACTAAGATTTGTATTTTTCCCTGTCTGTGTGCAGAACCTTACTGACTGAAATACAGTGTGTGATGGATACAGTTACATTCCTATTGGGGTAACTTAGTTTAAAATTTAAAGTATTCCAAGTAGGGATGTGGCCTTGTGTCCTTACTTGTATCACACCAGAATTAAATCCATGATCATAAACTGACACATACTTTCCTCAGTCAGTGATGATGTGTTGGCAGCAACTGAGCCCCAGAAAGAAAGCACAATAAAAAAATTATTTGGATGATTTTGGCCAGCTCCTGTTGGAGTGAAATAAGAAAACAAAAGATCTCTGGTCATCATAGAGCTGCAGAATGCTGATACTTTTTAGGCTGAGTCTCTCTTAGCTTTTTCCTACTTGGTTTTAACCTTGTTTTAATGAGTAAAAATACTTGAACTGTTAAGCTTGAATTATTTCTTCCTTGTTTTGTAAAGGAGATTTTCTTGTACTTTTTAAAATTTTACTGAGAATTTTCATTAACTAAACTGAAGTGTTAACTGTTTAATGAAATTATACAATAGCACATGGATAGCACACTTAATGTATCATTCCTGCATGTTCAAAATTGTAACTTCCTTAGATTTAAGTTCACTGTTTCTTAATATAGAGAAATTTATGAAATTCCATGGATGTCAAATGTAGAATATATATGTAGCAATTTCTGAAAAGCAGTGCCATAACTCAGTCCCTGATTTCTTATACATAAAAAATTAATAATAAAAATTAATCTAAAGAATTTTGGTTATCATTTGTTCTCCTGAAGTCTCCTTAGTGTTAGCTCTCAGATTTGAAGCTCTTAATAATTGTTTCATAATAACTGAACACAAATTAAAAACTAGCTTAAATAAAAGGGAAAATTTCCAGTTCATTGATTTCTGCTTCTGGCTCTGCTCCATGCTATTGATACCTTTTTTGCAATTTTACTAAATCAAGTCTTAAAACATAGTGAATCATTGCAGAATTAATTTTTCCTCATATGTTGTTACCTAATTTTTAAACTAAACAGTATACATTAGGAAGTGTGCATTTATTTGTATATAAAATGGAAACAATGCTTGTGTTTTTTGTGTATTTGGATTTGATTTGTCTTCATTCATTCAAACTTACTAAGATATCATGGGGCTGATTATAGACTGTATGGCTATTATAGACATGTAAATGAAGTTCTCATATTTGTGATATATACAATGATAATGTTGATATCCAACTTTGTGCCTGTACTTTTTACTGAATTGTAACTCTGGCTGTGTGTTAGACAGTGCTGTTAATTGTCTCTTTGTTTTGCTCAAGATTTTTATTGAAGGATGGTCAGCTGTGGCTCTGTGCCCCTCAGGCGAAGCAGATATGGAAGTGTTTAGCAGAAAATGCGGTTTATCTTTGTGATCGCGAAGCCTGTTTTAAATGGTATTCCAAACTAATGGGGGATGAACCAGACTTAGACCCTGACATTAATAAGGACTTCTTTGAAAATAATGTGCTTCAGCTGGATCCTTCCCTATTAACAGAAAATGGAATGAAATGTTTTGAACGTTTCTTCAAAGCTGTGAACTGTCGAGAAGGAAAGCTTGTAGCAAAGAGACGAGCCTATATGATGGATGACCTGGAATTAATAGGATTAGACTACCTTTGGAGGGTGAGTTAATTGAAGGAAGCATCTGAAAGGTTAACTGCTGAGACTTTCTCAGTCTCTTTATGCTTTTAGTAATGTGTCATTTATTAGTAATGGACTGAAATTACAAAAATCTGCTTTTTCCAACTAAATACATGGCTTTTGACTCCACTGTCTTCCCAGTAAGTATGCAAATTGGTAACTTTGCAGGCTGATGTTAAATGGAAAGTTATTTGAAACATAAGTATATTTATGTATGCACATGAAATTAAAAATTTGTCAGTACTGTTGAAGAAGATAAGATCCTTCCAGGTGAATTATCTGTAGGTTTCTCTTTTTTCTCATGCACATTATAATTAAACTTTGTTTCCTGCACTTCATGAAGCTATTCCATGGTATTCCTTCTAGTATGGTAAACTGGAGTGATTCTAGATCAGACCCAGTGATTGCTGATCTGATTCTTCCTCCTATAATCACAACCTTTTGGCTAAGTATGGTGGTTTTCTAGGATCTATAGATTCCATAGAACCACCTATTCTCTATATATAGTCTTCCTTTTCAATAGGAAGGTTGAAGCTTCCTGATGCTTGCCAAATCTGTTGGTGAAAACCATCAGTATTTAAACTGTAACCTAATTTTTTCAGAGTATTTCTAGTTCTCGAGAGCTGCATTAGAGCCCACAATGGTGCCCTGTGACATGATTATCATGGCTGTGTTTGTAAAATGTGTACAGCAGCAGTCTTCAGTAATTTTGGTTGTGGCTTCTTGAAGGGTTGAGTATTTTAATCCTGGTGATAATAGTTAAAACCAAAGTAGATCCCAATTTTTATACAAATAAGTTCACATCATGTTTGTGAACAGAGTTCCCACAGAATGTTAGCATGTTTTAGTTTTGGGAATCAGCTTACTCTGATCAGCAAAACTCATGAGGCTTAAGCTGCATATCCTGCAGGGGTTGTCTATAAAACCTGCTGTCAGACCTGGTGACTAGTAATTAAAGTTTAGATTATCAGGTTAGAAGCAGAATTCATTTGCTTGTCCCCTTTCCACCCATTCAGAGCCATTTAAATAGTTTAAAATTCTGTCTCATGATGCAGATTGTTGAGGCATCTGAAGAAGTTTTCTTATTCTCTGAAACAAGAGAAAATTTGGAATGTTATGTGAACATGAACATATAAACACTGCTTTTACTCTGTTTATAGAACATCAACCTTTTTTGCCGGCTCTGAACTTCAAAACTAATAAATTATTAATTTTTCCTCATATAATCATCTTGAGTGTAAATTTTATTGGTTGTATTTTCTAACTAAGTGTTTTAGTCCCTTTCACCTCATAAGATAGATGTGCTATTGTGTTGAGATTCTTATGTAGCAGTTTTGGTTTGCATTTTTACACCAGCAAGTTTAAAGAGATGTAAATGCTTTTTTTTCAATTGTGCCAGGTTGTGATTCAGGGAAATGATGACATTGCAAACCGAGCAATAGACCTTCTTAAAGAGATCTATACCAATCTTGGCCCAAGGTTACAAGTTAATCAGGTAAGGAAAAACAAGAAGAATGAATGGAATAAAAATAAAAATAGTCTTTAAAAATAGTTTTCAAATAATAGTCTTAAACATCAGTTTGGTGATATTTTTGTAGTTGAAAGATTTGAAAACGGGAAATAGTTTCTGTGTTTTGGCGGGTGAGTCCAACCATCAAATTATGGGCAGATGCAGAACTAAAGCTTTTCTCATATTTACAGAGTGAACTCTCATTAATTTTTCCTACTAAGTTCATCTGCTGTATTTGCTCTTATTACTCAGAAAGCAGTTAATGTCATAAGAGGAAGGTCTTTTGTTGCACTGCAAATTGTGGTATGAGTATGTTCAGGGGCTGGGTCTGTGGGGTGTTGTCACAAGCTAATGTAATCTCTTTTTTCTGGCATACCCCTTACAAAGGGTCACTGAATTTCTATGTAGTGGGCAAGCTGAGGTCTAGCAAATCAGATATTAGCTCCCTGCATTAATATTTGCCAGGAGATGATTCAGTGGACAGAGAAGAGATACTGGGTTTCTGTAAGGGAAAGGGATTTCATCCACAGGGTCCTTGACAGGCTTGAGTAGTGGACCCTTGAGAACCTTGTGAAGTTCAACAAAGCCAAGTGCAAGGTTCTGCAGCTGGGTTGGGGCAATCCCAGGCACAAATACAGGCTGTTGGATAAACAGACCAAGAGCAGCCCTGCAGAGAAAGACTTGGGGGTGTTGGTTGAGAAGAAGCCCAACATGCACTGGCAGCCCACAAAGCTACCCATGTCCTGGGCTCCATCAACAGCAGCATGGGCAGCAGCTCCAGGCAGGGGGTTCTGCCCTTCTTGTCTGCTCTGGTGAGACCCCACCTGCAGTGCTGCATCCAGCTCTGGGACCCCTAACGTGGGAAGGACGTGGAGCTGCTGGTGAGAGTCCAGAAGAGGCCATAAAAATAATCAAGGCCCCTTCCAACCCAAACCATTCTGTAATTATGTGACTGCACAAATTAAGTGGAGGAATATTGTCCTTTGGACAAGCTCCAGTTGATAACTTGCCAGGTGTATTTCTAAAAACTGATATTCTACTTGTCTTCAAAAACACTTTCATAATCTTCAGAGCTGCCAGTCTGCCAGGTCCAGCACAGCTGCTCTAGGTGGTGAATTCACAGCCATTCAAGCTGTATTTTCCTGCAGTGGCAGATGGCTGGAGGCTTCTGTCTTGCTGTAGGTCTGGGTTTACTAAGCATGCATTGATCTGTTCATCTGCACATGCTTACCTCTGACACTTCCAGAAGTGCTGGATTTACATGCACACAAGAATTCTTTAACATAGTCTGAGAGAAGGAGAAAGTGAAAGTCCAATTCAGTGTTCTCTGTCCAAATTTTCACTTTCTCTATTTACATACAGTACAGTTACAGCTGCTGATGATGTGAGATTATTGAAGGGCACACTAATTTAGAGCTATTTATTGAGTAACTTACCTGGTTTGGTTTGGGGGATTTTTTTTTTTTCCTTTATCATTTTGTCATTCTTCTGAAAAGATGGATTCTAATATGTCTTGTAATTACACCAATTTCTTAATGTAATTAGGTAGTGATTCATGAAGACTTCATTCAGTCCTGTTTCGACCGTCTAAAAGCCTCCTATGATACATTGTGTGTGTTGGATGGAGACAAAGACAGCATCAACTGTGCAAGACAAGAAGCAATAAGGATGGTGAGAGTGCTGACTGTTTTAAGGGAGTATATAAATGAGTGTGACAGTGATTACCACGAAGAAAGAACTATTCTACCTATGTCAAGGTATGTGTGAAAAAGCAGTATGATTTTGATTTCTGTTAAACTAAACCAGTACTATTATCCTTGGCATTTTTACATTCTAAAGGGTTTCTATTCAGGAAATGGTTTCACAGTGTTTCAGAATTCCCTTTTCTTTGCTAATGTATGAAACTGTATTGAATTTAATTTTTTTGCAAGATCAGGCAAATACAAGTATATATGAAAGGGGCAGCAGGCCTAAAAATAAACTTGGTGGTTTCTTGTATAACTAGCACAATGTACCTTGAGGCTCAATTGTTTTGGATACAATTCTTTATTTCAGATAATTACTTAAAATCAATACTGTTCTTTACATTAGCATTGGCAAAACCTTTTTGTTTCTCATAGTCTTACTATACAAAAACATGTTGTAAATGTATACGTTCACCTTCCAGAATTGTTTGTATATCTCAATCTTACTTTGCAAGATTAAACTTTTAATTATTTTTAAGTGAAATATTCTATAAGCTCCTCACAAAGAGGGGAAGAACAGAACCAGTACTTTGAAGTACATTTTCTGTACACCTTCGCTCTTCTTATACTTGTCCTTGAGTGAAAACTTAGCTTAAATCCTTGGTGTCTATGGATTTATGATGCAGCTAACATATTTTTAAACATGGTGGAGGTTTTTCATCCACTTACTTTAAATGACCTTTTTGTCAAAAAAATTGAAGCAATTTCTATTTCTTCATGGTGTATCAGTAATTTGCAGTGTTGCTGCAGCTTTTTTGCTGCATATATTGATTGACTGATGAGTCCTAACAAAGTTTCTTTTTGATTGTGGATACTTCTTTTTTTTTATGGGCTGCTTATTTGATTAGACTAATCTTTCACTGGCCTTGTTAGCAAGGAGCTTTATGAGGAGTTTTTGCCTTTTGTTACATGGGATTAGTCTGTTGGGCTTATCTGGGCACATCTTTCCTAATGAGCTCTCTGCCATTCTGTGGAGTGTGATCACTGCTAATGTGAAAACATTTCTTCCTTTTTTGACCACTTCAAACTTTCTTGAAAAGATTGTGATTTTAAAAACTGGAATTCTAGCATAAAATTCATAACAGCTTTTGACAGAAGGCATTAAGGCTGAATTTGACAGAAGGCATTAAGGCATTGGCAACCTGATGGATTTTTCTGATCTCAGTGTACTTAAAGCTTTTGTTGCTTTGCTAAAACAGCAAAACATCATTGCCAGTCTGATTAAGCTCTGTTTGCACATTTTGATCAGGAAGTTACATGACAGAGAAGAGATCTAAAACTTTATAAGAGACTTCTAAAGTTTCTCTCAGTGTTCATAACCTGACTGTAAATTTGACCATATGATTAATGCATTTGTACTGAGTGTGGTTTCTTCAAAGATTCTGTGTATGTTGTTTCCATAGTTGCTAGGGCTTTCATTAAATCTTACACTGGAAAATACCATGTTAAGATTTGATGTAGAAATACCTGCTGCAAAAAATGCAGCAAGAAAAAGAATTTATTTCCCGAGGACAAAAATAACTTTTGCTTTTCTGTTTATTTTCAGAGCTTTCCGTGGTAAACATATCACACTTGTGGTTCGTTTTCCAAACCAAGGCCGGCAGGTGGAAGATTTGGATATTTGGTCTCACACGAATGACACCATTGGCCAAGTGCGGCGCTGCATCCTCAATCGCATTAAAGCCAACAGTGCACACACAAAAGTAGAGCTGTTCATTGGGGGTGAGCTGGTGGATCCTGCAGATGACAGAAAGTTAATTGGGCAGCTGAATCTCAAGGATAAAACGGTAAGTGTTGCAGGCTGGGTAGTTACATCAATTCGGATTTTCCTTCCCTTTTGTGAATACTTGAAAAATATCGTGCATGGCATCATTTATTTTTGTGAAATAATTCCATTCTTTCTTCTTATATTATGCCATTAATATTATATCAGATGCTTATTTGTTAAAGAATGTTAAATTTTGGAGAGTATTAAAACTATAATTGTGTTTTTCAGCTAATTACAGCAAAGCTTACACAGATAAATTCTAATATGCCCTCAAGTCCAGATAGTTCTTCTGACTCTTCAACTGGTTCTCCGGGCAACCACGGCAATCACTACAGTGATGGTCCAAATCCAGAAGTTGAAAGTTGTTTGCCTGGAGTGGTAAGCATTTCCTGAAATTAACAGTTCAAACATGTTTTTTCTTACACTCTGTCTTTGGCTAACAATTGGTTTTTTTATTTGCTTATTTTAAGATCATGTCACTGCATCCTCGATACATCTCTTTTCTTTGGCAAGTTGCAGACTTGGGCAGTAGTCTAAATATGCCACCTCTTAGAGATGGAGCTCGTGTTCTTATGAAGCTCATGCCACCAGGTAAAACTTAACTTGATCCTTTTTTTCATCTTGTAATATGCTGTAAAATAATATCTCATCTGATACATAAAAGTGAAGATAGAGGAGTATTTTCTACTTTCTGGTAATGTATTGGTACTGTAATTCATTACTGTTATCCTAATCAGGACTGTAAAAGATTTCCCAAGTAGTTATTTCTTATCTGCAATGTGAAATTGCATAGTTTGCAGTTGGTATTGGAGTTAATGCCACAGTGTAGTGAAAATGGAGAGCATTGTATTTTAAGGTGTTTTTATAGTACTGCTTTAATAGGAGCACTTTTGACTGTAATAATCATTGGAGAACACTCTGTAGTCTGATTTTGTCTGTAAGTTTTTGCAACTGTTCTGAGACACTTAAAATTGTTGAGATTTATAATTGTAAATAGTACTGGCTTGTTGTGGAGTACTTTTGCAGCAAAATGCTCATGAGTTGTGTTTTTATTGCAGATAACACTACGGTCGAGAAACTAAGAGCAATTTGTTTAGATCATGCAAAGCTTGGGGAAAGCAGCCTTAGTCCATCCCTTGATTCTCTGTTCTTTGGTCCTTCTGCCTCACAAGTGCTGTACCTAACAGAGGTTAGTGATGCTTTGCCTGTTCTTAAAAAATTGTCAGTTCTCTCTGTGGCAGTCCTGTCTGTAACATTATGGAAGCCTAAGATCAAATTCTGGTTTGAAATTAACAATTGAAAATAATAAACAATTTACTGGCATAACCGTGTATTGCCAGTTCTGTCAAAGCATTGCTTGTGTAGTATTGCTACAAATTCTCATGGTCAGTCATCTGTATCCAAGCTGGTGCATTTCCATTAGTTAACTCTGTATTTTCTTCTACAGGTAGTTTATGCCTTGTTAATGCCTGCCAGTGCACCTCTGGGAGAAGATGCCAGTGACTTCCAGTACAACTTCCTGAAAAGTGGTGGTTTGCCTCTTGTGCTGAGCATGCTGACCAGAAATAACTTCCTGCCAAATGCAGATATGGAAACTCGAAGGGGCGCCTACCTTAATGCTCTAAAAATAGCCAAATTATTGCTAACAGCAATTGGATATGGCCATGTTCGAGCTGTGGCAGAAGCTTGTCAGCCAGTTGTGGAAGGCACGAGTACAATTTCACCGGTAATATAAATCTTCCTTGCTGCAAATAGCAGTGTGCTCTGTGTTTTATCATGTGTGCAGCAGCATCTCCTTACTTCTCACTCACAGTCTGTTCTTTGAGTGCATTGCACATCAAGGACTCAGGGTACTTTCAGATCATGTTTTGCAATTCTAAAAAAAGAGATCAACTTACTAAACAAATCCTATTTCTTGGTGACTGTAAAAAGTTAGCACTTGCTCTGTGTATGATTTTTGGTGGTTTGCATGATTGTCAGTACAGGTAACTTCGCATTTTTAACTCTCTTCATCCTTCTGGACAAAGTGTGCAGCACACAGCAGGATAAACACATCACGTGATGTGTGAGCAGCTGGCTCACAGGTTGGGCACAAAGGGTTGTAGGGAATAGTGACAGAGTGGTGACCTGTCACAGGTGGGGCTCTGCAGGGCTCCATCCTCAGCCCTGTGCTCTTCAACATCTTCATAAATGACCTGGATGCAGGACTGGAAGGGATGCTGAGCAAGTTTGCAGATAATACAAAACTGAGAGGAGCTGTTGATGCCCTGGAGGGCAGGGAGGCCTTGCAGAGAGGTCTCAGCAAATGAGAGGAGTGGGCAATCACCAACCATACAGAGTTCAACAAGGGCTGGTGCCAGATTCTGCACCTGGGGTGGGGCAAACCTGGATATATGGACACACTGAGGAATGAGATGCTGGAAAACAGTGACACAGAAAGGGACCTGGGTGTCCTGCTTGATGGCCAGTTCAATATGAGCCAGCAGTGCCCTGTCAGCCATGAGGGACATCTGTGTCCTGAGGGACATCAGGCACAGCATCACCAGCTGGGCAAGAGAGGGGATTGTCCTGCTCTGCTCTGGGCTGCAGCAGCCTCACCTTGAGTGCTGGGGACAGTTTTGAGCACTATGAGATACAAAACTCTTGGAGAGCATTCCAAAGGAGAGCCACAGGCATGGTGTGAAGGGCCTTGAGGGGAAGCTGTGTAATGAGGTGCTGAGGGCACTTGCTCTGTTCAGCCTGGAGGAAACTGAGGGGGGACCTCAGTGCAGTCACAGCTTCTTGTGAGGGGCAGAGATGGGGCAAGCACTGATCTCTGCTCTGTGGTGACAGTGACAGGACCCAAGGGAACGGCCTGAAATTGTGTCAGGGGAGGTTTTGGTTGGATATTAGGAAAAGATTCTTCCCCCAGAGGGTGGTTGGGCCCTGGAACAGACTCCCCATGGCAGTGCTCACAGCACCAGCCTGGCAGAGCTCCAGAAGTGTTTGGGCAATGCTCTCAGGCACATGGTGTGACTCTGGGGATGGTTCTGTGCAGGGCCAGGAGTTGGACTTGATCCTTGTGGGGCCCTTCCAACTCAGCATGTTCCGTGATAAATGTGAATTCCCCATCTGTGAGGTTTCATCTTAAATAGTTTCTTTATCTATAACCTGTCCTCAGGAATCCACAGAGAGCCCCACTTCAGAGCACTTAATTCCAAAATACTGACTGAGATCCATCTCTGAATTGGAGAAGTACATTCCCCTTAAATCTCAAACATAAGTACCTGTTCTGGTTAGCTGCATCGGTTAGAAGATACATAATTAATTATTTTTCAAGTAAATCAAAACTCTTAATGATTACAAAGAAGTGAAGATCCCTTTTTATGTCTCATGTTAGAGTATAATAGGAATATATTAATGCAGACATGTTTGCCACCTTGTCTTTCATCTATTTAAAATGAGTACATTTTACTGCCCTGTTTTCTCACAACAGTTATTTAAAGGGCAGTTTGGAACACACATTGCATCACTTGAGTCTTGAAGTATTGTTTGAAACAGACTCAGGCTGACTTCTTGAAAGGTAGTAACATTTGTCTACAGTTGCTGACTTTCACTATTTGGAGTTGCAAACATCTGATTTAATAATAACAGATTTGTTGGAAAAAACACTGTTATTCTTGCTGTCACCATCATCCTCTTTGAGTCACTTAGGGTATTTTTTTATTCCCTTGGGATGCAGGTGGGATTTGTTAAAATTTTTAAATTCTCTTACCTTAAGCCTAAGTACCAAAGCATAATTTCTGTCTTGGCTTTCCATCAGTATTTAAGAGAAGTAGGCAACCAAGGTTATGTATCTATAGTTTTCAGTTATTGGTCTGTTGTTGTCACTAGTACCTTTAAAATTGTTACTTTCTTCCTTGTTTTCATAGAAGGTTGAATTAATAATGTTAAATACAGTGTTCTGGTGCACAGAACTGATTTACCCTATACATATTGCTGTTGATCACTTCCAGTAGCATTCAATAGCTGAGTGACTGTGGAAGCTCTGTTAGTCTTCAGTGGAGGCTTTGTAACTTTGCTCTCTGAATCAAGTGTCTTAGTGAAGCTGACAGAGCAAGGGATGTGACCAACACCAGACCTTGCCCAGCAGCCTCACAGTGTGTCTTTTGAGATGGGCTTTTTGAATGAATTGGTACAGAAAAATGAAGAAACTCTTCTGTTTTAATTTGTAACCACAGTACACCATCTTTTGTTTGTCTGTGAGAAGGAAACACCCATTTCAGGTTTTGTCAAAACTATGGAGCTCTGGCAGACTAAGGAGAGAGGGATCTATGCTCAAATCAATACAAAAAAAAAGTTGAAAACTTGTCTTGCTGTTTCTATTTTGAAAATATTATAAAAAACAAGAGGGATCATTTAGAACAGAATTCTTCAAGGGTAACTTAAATATTTAAAATGTACTTCTGTATAATAAAAACTGCAGTCATATTCTGTCTGAACACTCTTACCTAATCCAGAGGGAGCCCCCATGTTTGACCAAACCCTTTCTTTTCCACATCTACTGAAAGGGAAGGAGGCATTGTAACAGAAAAAAATTCTGTCAGCTTGAAGTGATCTGATCAATAAACAAGCCCCCAAACCTAATAAGCTTTGAGCAATGCCTTTCCTTTCAACTACTTGTACCCTGTGATCGTCCACTGCAGCAGCGCAGTGTCTGCAGGTGTGATGGTATCTGTTTGAAAATGAGGAGGTTTATTTATGTTGGCCTTTGCACTAAGTTTTCCTTCCAAGATCTTATCTACTTCTATCAAACCTTTCCAAGTAACTTTAGATCTTCATATCTTTTTGCTTTTTTTTCCCATGTAAAAGTAAGTATGAGAAATACTTTCTTCCAGATAAACCAGGCTACGCATGACCAGGCAGTGGTGCTACAAAATGCCCTACAAAACATTCCTAATCCAACTTCAGAATGCATGCTGAGAAATGTAGCAATACGTCTTGCACAGCAAATATCTGATGAGGTTGGTGAATTCCTTTCTGTATCACCTTTTTCCTTATAGCATCTTTTCTATTTTCTTAATCCTTAAATTTGTTGCTTTGTAAGACAAAGATTTTCCTTTTAAAATGTTTTAGGTAATGATCATATGAAAGAGAAAAATCTCAAATCATTGCCAGTGTGTCTTTATATATTGAAGGTGCTTTAATGACACAAATGAAAACCTCAGTAAGGCTAAACAATGTGCTTTGCAAACATAGTGGTCTTATGTGTATGGTGTGGCCAAAGCCCATTTGGATCTGGAATGAGGAGTCTTGTTAGAGAACATGTCAGTGAAATCACTGAGTTCAGCAGGAGCTAAAATCACAACTGCTTTACCTTCCTCTTGCACCTGCATCTGGATCCCTTGGTTTCCAGGGTGGAAGCCATAAATGCAGTGTTTCTGTACTGTATAGCATGTCCACAAAACCATCCCCAAAACATTTCTGAGCTATCTAGATAGAAGGTATTACTGTATCCTCATCTTGGTGTTGACAAGTTCACTATCCCTTGAGAACAAAGGGCAGTGTCTAAAGAAAGCACAACATGCTGCAATGCAAGACTGAGCCATCTGCCTTCCCCCAGTGGTGGTTTTGCATCCATAGGTGTAAAATCAGCCAATTCAACTTTGATTTAATCAAAAATCTTCTATAGAAGAAGTATCTTTTGAGGTGAGATGTGAGGAAAGGTTTTTTAATTCTGCCGTTGTCTTTCCTAGAGGCCTGCTAATAAATAAGTAATTTTTCATTCACCAAACACATCAAGCAAACAAAATCTGAATGTGTTTAACGGTAGTGCTGTGTAAGATTTGTCTGCAATTTTCTGCAATTATGAATACTGCTGTAGGTCTAAAATTCACGTGTACTGTAGTTGCCTTTGAAAGGTTTTTTGCCTTTTCATGTTTTGATGGTCAAAGACTCTTTACAATGGATCTCAAAATTTAAAAAAAAAAAAAAATCTGACATAGTTTCCATAGGCCAGAGAGAAGGCTTTAGCACAGAGAGGAATAATTCACCTTTTTTTAAAAAGTTGATCCTTAAAGACTTTGAAACTACAATGAGATAAAAAAACTCTGTTGTTTTTCTTGTGGCACTGTTGCTGTAAGGTTGCTTTGCTTGTGACAAATATAAAATACCTTTTATTTTTCTTGGAAATACCGTTAATGTCCATATCAGTTCAAGAAGGCACATTGTTCAGGTTGCAGATACCTGATGCAGATAACCTACCTAGCTCAGCTTCTTAAGAGTCCCCTTTTTTGTTGTCTGAGCATTAGAAAAATGAAACTTGAAATCCATCTGTCTGCCTTCTGCTTTTAGAGATTGCCTATTTTTTGGATTATTCTGTTTTGATCTACAGACTTTAGATAAGTTTGGTAGTTTTTTTGAAAGTTGATGTGGAACCCTAAATAATAGCAGTTGGAGTGTGTTTTGTAATGTGTGTATATCAGTAGAAACTGCTGGATGTGAATTCAGACCATGCACAAAGTACTGAGCAGTGACTCTGCATTCCTTTAGTCCATGAGCTGTGTCCTTATCCATGTTCAACCTCTGTGTCTTGAACATGAAGCAATCCCTTTACATAATGATCACATACTTGATAACATCAGTGTGTTCAGGCTGGCTATCAGCTAGCACAGCATGGGGAGAAACCCTAAAATAAGTTCAACTTTTTACACTGCTTAAGAGGCTGGCTGCCTTCCAGATGAATGCTTGGTGTTTTCTTGGGGTTTTTTCCTAAATAAAGAAGGTTTTGGCATTGAAATTGGTAGTTTCTGCTAAGTCTTAGAACCAGAGTTGCCTACATCCTACTTTAAAAAATTAATTTTACATAAGTGAAGTATAAATACTCTTCAAGGTACATAATCTGTTTTCTATTTAAGGAAAAAAAAATCTTGTAAGATTTTAAATCTTAAATTTTCTGTGAAATTCATTTGTGGGAATTTAGAATCCATTGCAGAGTTATTTGCAGCTGTATTTTAATGTTGCTTTAGTTAATTTCTCTTTTTTTTTTTCAGGCTTCAAAATACATCCCTGACATCTGTGTTATCAGGGCAGTGCAAAAAATTGTTTGGGCATCAGGTTGTGGATCAGTTCAGCTGGTTTTCAGCTCGAATGAGGAAATCAGTAAAATCTATGAAAAGGTAAGAATTCCTGAGCAGCTGCTTTTCTGTATTACTGTTTGGTTTTGTACAAAAGGGAATGGGTACAAAGGGTTGACAAAGGTTTAGAGTGTGATGAGCTTTAGGTGGATACAGCGATGTGTTTCAGAATCAAGTATATCATTGTCATAGCACAGCTTAATTTTCTGTTCCAAATTCCCCTCCTCAGTAACTGGTGAATTGTAACTTGAGTCTGGTGTCAGTTGAAGAATGCACCAGTTCTGTAACATGTTTTCAGCTCAGTTAGATTCTGCATCTAAATAAGGAATAAGCATTTCCTGCAAGGCTTGATTTGTCTAGGCTTCAAACTTAAAAGGTCTGTTCTGCAGAAGTAATTCAAAGCATATGTGCAGTCTAGAATGAGAAAGAAGAGCAAAGTGATGTGAAAAGCATTCGGAAAAAAGATTTAATTGCTAATTTTGTATGGCTTTTCTTCTTTTATTAATGGGCTCACATGTGGTTTACACAGCTAGTTTGGAGTTAGGAGTTCTGTATCAGTAGATTATCACACATCTTGTGATAAGTAATGTTGCTTACAGTTACAGGAAATAACAATCTGGATTTGGACAGATTTTAAAAAAGCATTTCCTATTTTTGTCTTGTAAAATCAGGTTTAGTACTCATCAATACTTGCCTGAGAGTGAAAGGAAAAGAAATATGTAGGGAGGCTTAATTCTTGGGGTGTGTGCTGTTGTATTTAAATGATCAATTGAAAGAAGAATATTTACCTCAGCAAAATGCAACACCTCTCCATTAGCTTTCATAGGGTTATAATGGCGTCTGCTTCTACTGCTGTGAGCATGACTTCTTCATGAAATAAACTACGGCTTGGGGTGTTTTTAGGTAATATTTCCGTATAAAACATGGTTTAGTTTGTGTGACAGTCCAGGCACATGAAGATGAACTCTTATACATGAGATGCTTTAAGAGCAGTAGTACACTAGAGAAAGCATACCTCAAAGAAAAGAGACCTAAATTTGCTTTTTAAAAATTCTTCTGGGTAGAAATTGTAGAGTTAAGTTCTGTAAAAATATTTTGAGATAATGGAAGTTTTAAAAGTGGTGAAATTCAAGCTGTATGTTATTGATCATCTTTCACATGATTTTGTGGGTTTTTCATTTTTGGGTTTTTTTTCTTTTTATTCTTATTGACACATACATGGACATCTGTAATAAATGGTGGCTGTGTTTGGTTTCTGCTATGCAAAAGGGAAATAAAAATTGAAGGGGAAAAATTGGACATTCATAAGAGGAAGAAATTGTAGAAGTAATAAGAAGGGGAAATAAAATGCCCTTTGTTAATATAACATTAAAACAGAGGAAAGTATCCTAGAAATAGAGGAATATCATGGAATGAAAGACAATTTAAGAGAACTGTATCTGGTTATAGATTAGAGGAAGCAATTTTAATGATGGCTTTATAAAGATGGAATATAGCAATGTACAGACCCTCAGCTCTGGGTGCCCAAGTGCAGGGAAGTATTTCACTGAGTGTAAAATGCACTTTGCCTTTCTCCTGGGTCCCTGCAGCTGTGCAGAAATGACTTTCCCTTCTAACCAGGGCTTCACTGCAGAGCAGGTGCAGTTCTGGATTTGCTGAAGGAATTCTGCCTTTGCTTTCTGATGTTGTGTCAGGACTGCCACATCCTCCTGCTGCAGTGCAGTGACTGCCTTTGATTTTGTAGTTATTGTGCATAGACAAAATAGTGTTTGCTGCCAGAGTGAGGCATATTTTGGCCTGTTCACAATTAGTTCTCTCCTCTGCATTGTAATCCCTTCTTTCTGCCTAATTAATCTTGATACCTTTTCACGTATAAAACAAATATTTAGTGCCTGTAGTTATTGTGACTAACCTGCACTCATGATTTATAAATGATAAATTGAGACCTCACATTCAGTTTCTTTGGAATTTCTTGAATGTAATTACTTCTAGATGGAGAAGAGGGTTTACCATTATTCTCAAAGTATTTATTTTGAAAGAATGTACCAAAATCAACTCAGTTAATTCAAGTGTTTAGTTTAAGAAGTAACCTGTGCACAATTAGAGGTAATATTATTTTCTGTGTCAAAAATCATGACAGCAGCTATGTTTAAAACTTAAACTCTTTCATCTTTCTGAAAAATAGCAAAGTGATTAATAAATTCTAGCAGTCTTAAAAAGCTTTTGGTCAAATAAGTTGTGAGTGTCAAAGCCTTGTAAAAGTGAATTGATGAATTAATTATACAGCACTATAGTGGTAGTTTAAGTAGTAGAGTTTAAGTAGTAGAGATTTCCAAATTTTAAATGCCATTTTTTGAGTGGTAAAGAAAAATAGAACAAAAAAATCCCAAACAAAACCCCAGATGCAAACCAATAAAAACTCCCAACAGTACTAACTGATGTAACTGTTGCCCACAGTTGTCCTGTTTAACTTCTGCCTCCATAAGCTCATGCTTGGAATCCTCCAATGAGAAGCACAATTCTGGAAGTTCAAGTCATCCCACACAGTACTTTGGTTCAGATCTGAGTGCATAAAATACTTGGCACTGATAATCACTTAGTATACAAACTGTGGTTTGTGTTTGTGTTTAGTGATATACCTTGGAGCCAGTTGGGTTTCTTGGGATTGTTTTCTGTACCCACTTTGTGCACTCTTGTTTGTTTTCACAGACAAATGCAGGAAATGAACCAGACATGGAAGATGAACAAGTTTGCTGTGAAGCCCTGGAGGTGATGACCCTGTGCTTTGCTTTGATTCCAACAGCACTGGATGCACTCAGCAAAGAGAAGGCGTGGCAGACATTTATTATTGATTTACTATTGCACTGTCACAGCAAGTAAGTTTTGGTCACATCCATTATTTTACAATTCAAAATAAATATAAAGCCTAAATGCAGAGCAGTGGCTTCAGCCCATGTGAAACTGTGATGTGAAGTACTGGGTGTTTTCAGAAACCATCCAGGTGGAAAGTTGTTAATACGTTATTAAACTTGGTTGCCAGTGCTTTGATCTGTTACTAAAGAGTTAATTTTTTAAGATACCGTTGTTTCATTCAAACTTTTCTTTGAGAAATGACAGGGATCTGAAATTAGTGGTGTCTTAAGTTTTTCAGTATGTTTTAAAGGGAGTCAGATCAGGTGCTCTCAGATGAATGGGGTCAGAATTTGAGCAGAATTTGTGTTTTGGGGTTTTTGACTTCTGGATATACAGATTGAAAGATTTTATGTTTAGAATATTTACTTTAACAAAAGGATCAAGTATCATCAGAGCATCTCTTTACAGTGAGCTCTTTGCACACATTGGTGAAACTGGAGGGTTACCAGGAATACCACAAGCTTTATTGATTTGCAGCCTGTGGTACAGGGTGTTGAATTTTCAGTTTCACTGAAGCTTGCTTGTATCACTCATATGGAAGTATAGTTCATACTGTCAGTACAAGAAGCTACCACTTCTCTCATATGCCTATAAAACTAGAGACAAACATGATAATCTCACTTGGAATGGTGCAACTGTTCATTGTTACATGCTAAAATAGCATGAGCATGAGTGGAAACAGAAGATTGCTTTGTAAATTAAGATGGTGAAGTTGAACTAAGCTGCTGGAAAGTTCTGTTCTGAATTAATGTGGAAACAAATCAGTGTTTGTGGTGCAGAGAAAGTTTAGCAAATACCAGACAGAACTCTGAATATCCTTTCACAACTATTGTTCTCTAATCTCCTGTGCTCAATCAGAGAACAATGTGAGCAAAAATATGAATGTGAGAAAATGTTTTTGGTGCACCATAAAAGACAAAGACAGAAGATGACCAAGTTCAGATCTCACAAATAGAATTTTTCTAGAAAAGATCACATGGATTGTTTGTTGTACAGGGTTTGACTGGGACTTCTATTTCCTCAGAGCACAACCATGTTATACCTCTAAACTTAGAAACAGAATGCAAAATGTTTAATACTAAATGCTAGAGTAGCTTTTCTCCTACAAGGTAATTGATTTTGTAATGGTGTCCTCTGAATGCAAGATCACCTAAGAGGAGATAGCCAAGCAGTTAGTCCTAAATAATCCTGGAACCCAGAAGTCTTCTGCTGATCTCTGCAAAGTGTTTGGTGGCCACATGTATGAGGTCTAAATACATTAAAATTCTTTGTGCTGTAAAGCCATGGCACTTACACCCACTGAAGGGAGTGCCTTCTATGAACTGAGCAGAGACCTGTGTCCTGGAGCTCTCAGAAGGGCAGGATTCAGATTGCCAGCCTTAAGGGAGGTGCTTGACCTCCAGCTATTCCTCCTGCTAAGTGTGAGTTCATGGTGCCAGCTCTGTGCTGTCATCATGTGTCTGAAACAGCATGAGATGCCTGTGCTCAGGCAGCTGCATCCCTCTCATGATTCCTTAAGAGCTCTTAGATGGTTACAGCCTCACAGAAATGTAATACTTGTGTTCAAACACTGCATACTCAGAAACATAACAGTGTGAGGTGTGTCACATTGGTCACATTTGTCACTGTAGGAAAATATCACCTTTGTCTATTTCATTCTGCCTTCAAGTGCACAGAGCTGAGGAGTGTCTGTGTGATGTGTCCCAAGCAGTTGAAGGATTGTATCTTGAAATAACTTTCTGTGAGATGTTCTACAAAAACATGGGCTCAGCAATCAGACCCCATCAAATGTCAATTATTGTTAATTGTTAAGAACAGAGCAGCCCCACCCCACAGTCTGCTGCAACTCAGAGCAGAGTAGGAGAACTTGCAAAGATCAGGGAAGGGTGACAAGGGAGATCAAAGCTCTGCAATGACTTCCATCTGAGGAGCAGCTGAATAGCTGGGGGCACTTCATACTGGAGGAGAGATGAATGGTGGGAGGAGAATACTACAGAGACCCTTAAAATCAGAAGTAGCAAAGGGAGAACAAGTGGAGAGCTGTTTTTCTTTGTGTAAGACCGTCTTGAGCATAACATTTAAGCAGTGCAAACCTTCAGTTTGGAAATGGTTTGAGGGGTTCTTTCATGAGCTTGTCCAGTGAGGACTATGATATACTGCTCTTGGTAGTTTTCTTGAACCACAGATTGTTAGAAGCTGAGAGAACATTCTGGAGAAGTGTCTCTGCATGGTTCCTTCTTCTTGTGCACTTTGCTTTGTGCATGGTGACAGAGATGGTGCTCAGCCAGGGGCATCTTTGCTCTGACCTCTAGGTCATCCTGATGTGGCTTTGAAATCACAGTTAAGCACACATGAAAAAGCTCTGAAGGGAAGAGGATTCTTTGGTGTGCTTTCCACCCTGACTCCATGGGCACAAAATAGAGATAGCCACATTGAACAGACACTGCAAAACTCAGTTTTTCATATGAGATACTTCCATAAAATCATTCATTCAGCATTCATTTACAGTCTCTTCCCACACAAAAAGAGTTGCTCCCAACAGTTTTTACAAGGCATACTGCTCAGACAATTAATCCTACAACTTGAAAGAAAAGGGTTTGCCCTAATTTTTTAATTTTTTTTACTGAAGTTTATCCATTCCTGCATTGCTCTAGTGATTAGATTAGGTTCTGAGGTGAAAAATTTCCTTTAATTATAGCCACTTGAATTTTCAGGAGGGTCATCATCTCTCACATTTTACTAATGATAAATTTTGATGACTTCAGAGATAACTCGGCAAACTGCTGTAGTGACACATAAAAGCAGTTTTACTGGAGTAGTTCTGGTTTGTACCTGGTTTTACCAGGTACAACTGGTGCTTGATTAGGAAAAAAAAATTATTTAGGATTGCAAATTTTTGCGTTATGCAATATTTACTGTCAGTTGCAAAGGTGTAGTGGCTAGGTGTTTCTAAGTTTCTTTTTCTTTTACCTTTAAATATTTGACTTGTGGAACAGTTTTGTAATACAATTTATGCTTCTGAAATTTTACTGCAAGGAGAAATAATATGATGGATAGGGAATAATTAAACTGTTCATGTTTCCTACATTATGTTCAGTTTTAGAAAATGGCATTAAGCAGATAAACACAAATTTAATTATTGTCCTGTTTGGATAGGGAGGTTGAATTTAATGTTTCTATTCAATTATTTCCAGAACTGTTCGTCAGATGGCACAGGAGCAATTCTTTTTAATGGCAACCAGGTGTTGCATGGGACAGAGACCTCTCCTTTTCTTCATTACCCTGCTGTTTACTGTTCTAGGGGTAAGTTTTCAGAGATAAAGTCTTCAGTATGGGAATGTATGTAAAAAGTAACAGGACAAAATGCCTGCAAGAAAAGACAAATTGTTATTAATAACAGTCACTATAATATCAATTGTTTCTGACCTACAGACAAGCAGCACCGATGATTTCCATATGAGCTAGAGCAGGGGAAAAGGGACTCTTGCATTTTCTGATAAGAACATGAGCAGTTCATGGCTTTAATGTCTGCATTTGATCTTTGGTGATTGCTAACCTTTAAGTAAAAATCTTTAGCAAGTTAGAGAATACCTGCAGTTAGTGCCTTCTCCTACTGGTCCTGCCAGGACTTTTCAGCTCATTGGTCTCTTGTACATTTGATCAAAAGTTTTGATTTGGTTTTCTTTTTCCCATTCAGGTGTAGAAATTGCTACTAAAATAGTTGAGAAGTCATTCATTAGCAGCTAAATACAATTTTAAACTTGTAAAAGTTTAAACTTACACTCTTCTTTTACATTTACTGCGAGATTTAGGGAAATATGTTGGTGTTGCACTGTAAGTAGAAGCACTTATAAATTCTTTGCTTTTGGTTTGCACAGAGCACTGCAAGAGAGAGGGCTAAGCATTCTGGAGACTACTTCACCCTCTTAAGACATCTTCTTAACTATGCTTACAACAGTAATATTAATGTACCCAACGCTGAAGTGCTTCTCAATAATGAAATTGACTGGCTTAAGAGAATCAGGGTAAGTTTCAGGATCAGTTTATTCCTGATAATTAGGTTTTTGCTACAAAACTGTAAACTTTCTTGTGGACTGCAGTTCTGAGCTTAATGTTTGCTGTTTGGAGTATCCTAACTTTCTCTTAAATGACAGGATGAAGTAAAAAGAACAGGGGAAACAGGTGTTGAAGAAACGATCTTAGAGGGTCACCTTGGAGTAACAAAAGAGTTGTTAGCATTCCAGACACCTGAGAAGAAATACCATATTGGTTGTGAAAAAGGAGGTGCTAATCTCATTAAGGTAAGTTCAAGTTTTTTGACTTCTGGAAAGGGTCTTTGTGAGGTTTTGGGGGGGATTGATTTTTGGGGTTTTAATTGTTTGTTTTTACCTATAAATAAGTAAAAAGAAGCGTCACATCTTATGGGTTGTATCCATAGAAACGCTTTTGATTGGAGTTAAATGTTTTCTTTTAAAAAAATTAAATTGCATGTTTCATTCATAAAGTGTATTTAACATTTTCATTCTTCCTTAAGTACTGTATTTAACATTTTAATTCTTATTCCAGTACTTGACCAACATCACACAAAGATAGTGAGATACAGTCTCACTGTACAGGACTGCTTTCCTTCATTACCTCTGTAATGACTTTCCTGCACATGTTCTTAATTAGTGCCATTAATGCTTAGGGCAGGTTCGAACAAATACATCACATCTGAGCATCTCTTTAATCAGACATGTTTTCTTTGTACCTCTGATATTATAGAGCAGGAGTGTTGGTTTTTCAGCACTAATTGATAAAGAGCTTTGTAGATAATATTGCTTTTGCAAAAGAAATTTTTTACCAATCAAGAACAGCACAGATTTATTTTTAACTTGGATTGGGGAAGTGGGTTTGCAGGGAACCACTTCAGAATGGAGTTCTTCTGTTCTAGGTTTAAAAGCTCATTATGCTATTGGTCTCAATTTTTACTCTTGTTTTTTTTGTTAAGTACCTCTCTGATTCTCAGACACTCATTTATGTAATAACCCTTATAAAATAATTTCCATGGTAACCGGTGATTTATTGTCTTTTTTTTCAGGAGTTGATAGATGATTTCATCTTTCCAGCATCCAATGTTTATCTACAATACATGAGAAATGGAGAATTGCCTGCTGAGCAGGCCATACCAGTGTGTAGCTCACCAGCCACTATTAATGCTGGCTTTGAGCTCCTCGTTGCACTAGCAGTTGGATGTGTGCGAAATCTCAAGCAGATTGTAGACACATTGACTGAAATGTATTACATAGGTACAGCAATCACTAGTATGTAATACTTTTTAATTATCTATTTTCTACTCTTTAATGTATATATCATGTGCAGGTTTTGTTTGTATTATCCACTGAACCAAATGCTGAGTTTTTTAGTTCGTGGTTTGTTTGTAGTTGCTTTTAATGTTGCAAAATCAGTTTGCCAGTGTAGGCTTTATTTGTTTTTTCTTTATACAGTAAATGTACTGATCTGCATTCCATGGTCACATCCAAATTCCAGCCCCAGTCACAGCCTGACCCTTCCTGTCCCAATCTCTGACTACTCCCCTTTGTCCATACCAGCTCCAGGGACTTCATTCTGTCTGTATCTTCTACTTGTCTCATCATTTCAGGCTCTTGCTAACCAATCCCAGAGCCTCACCAGGTATCTTCAGCTTAGTTTTAGAGCCAGTTTCTTGGTTGCTCACCTGATTTGTCATCATTGCCCACATACAGACCCAGGTCCTCTGTCCTGCTTCTCTTTTTAGTTCTGAACTCATTCTCTGCTTGTCATAGTCCTTTTTCAGGCTCCTTTTTGGCCTTGTCTCAGCACAGCTCTGCACTGAAAGAACTTTCTCCCTCTCACTAGAGAAAGGTTGTAGTGATTGCTGTCTGTTCAAAAACTTGCAAATGTTAGTGCTTCAAAAGCTAATAGTCATGTGAAACTTGGGCTGATTTTCAAAGGATGACAAAAGGCTTGGTTTTAGTGCAGACTATTGTTGCCATTAAAAAAGCATTTCTTAAAAATTATCAAGCAGGAGGATATTTTCTCCAGCCCTAAAGGGACACTAAAACCATTCTGCTGTAATATTAACAGGGAAAGGGAATCAACAACCACCAAACAAAATCCAAACACCATCAAACCAAGGAAACCCAAGCTCATATGGTGGGAAAGGCTGGGAGAGTTGGAGTTGTTCAGCCTAGAGAAGGGAACCCTCCAGGGGTACCTCATTGTGACCTTTATTACTTAAATGTAGTTTATAAGAAAGATGGAGAAAAAGATTTGTACCAGGGCCTGTAGTTACAGGACAAGAGGCAATGATTTTAAACTGAGAATTGCACACAAGGAAGAATTTCTTCTATGAGGATGTTAAGACACTGGAACAGGTTGCCCACTTGTGGATGCCTCATCCCAGAAGTGTTCCAGGCCAGGTTGGATGGGGCCCTGAGCAGTCTGGTCTAGTGGAAAATATCGTGGCCCATGGCAGGGGGTTGGACTAGATGATCTTTAAAGGTCCTTCCAACCCAAACCATTGTGTGATTTAACAGATGTGTAAACTCAGAGTTGGGCAAAACCATAAGCAACTAAAAATAGTATCCAAAAGTGGAAATTGTCCACTGCCTCTCAGAGTGCCAGAGCTACTTGCTTGAATGGTGCTGTCAGTGAGTCACTTGAGGTTTTTCAGTCTCTTCCTGTTCAGTTCCATCTCAGATGGATAAATTAAAAGGGCAGCTTTATGGTTTTCCCCTCTGCCTCATCCTTCTTTCTTCACCCTTTTCTGTTGGGAAGTAGTGTATTTCTTATCACCTCACAGCTAGGGGGATTTCATGGCATTCCCTTCCATTCAAGTGTTTGATAAGCACAACAGAACACCAGATCTGTGTGGTGTGTCAGACAGAAGAGAGAACAAATGTATGAACTGTGCATGCTCTGGGATTCATATACCAAATCTGCTTGTAAATAAATATGCATGCTCTCTTATATCAGAATTATTAATACCAAGTTTTTTGTGTTAAAACTACAGACAGACCAACAGGTTAGCTTAGGTGATCATAAACGTTCTCAAGGAGATGTGAGGGACCTGAAAGAGAAGATCAGGAGGAAAATGTATATATCAAGTTATATAGAAAGCATTTGCTAAAACTGTTTCCCATCCTGGCAAGAAAAGTGAGGCCTAAGTGAAATTCTATAATTTTTGAAGGATTGTAAATTTTTGAGAGTACTATAGTTTTTAGAAGGTTTATAAATTGATTATATATTCTATATTCATTCAGCTAAGAAACTTGCTGGTATTGAGGAGAGGCTTCTGTTTCATATATAAATTTTTGCCTGGCTACCTCTTTAGTTATGCAGTAGAAGAAAAGGTTGTAATAAGATTACAGACAGAACAGTGCTTCACAGAAGTTGTGTTAATTTTAGCAATTAAGTTGGATGATGGAACATTGTTTTTATTAAATTGCAGTGATACAGACTAATAATAATTTTATGCCCTTTGTACTGCATTGATGTTTTCTTTTTTGATAACAAACCAGTTCCCTGAGCACTCTCTGCTGTTTCCTCTTAGCTTGTGAAGCGCTCACAGAATGGGAATATCTGCCTCCTGTTGGGCCTCGGCCTCCAAAGGGATTTGTGGGACTGAAAAATGCTGGTGCCACTTGTTACATGAATTCTGTCATTCAGCAGCTGTACATGATTCCAGCCATCAGGAATGGCATTCTTGCAATAGAAGGCACAGGCAGTGATGTAGATGATGACATGTCTGGGGATGAAAAGCAGGACAATGAGGTAAATTTAATTATATAAAATTACCTAATCTTTAAATTGTAATTACTTTTTTTTATGAAAAGGTTGTAATAAATTTCAGTTGCTAATCAGTCACTTTGATTTCCACTGATACCTGTGGGGAAGATAGGATAATATTTCATCCTTGAATAAGTTCACTGCCAGAGGGGCACTTCAGAAGATCCAGCTTGGCAGGGTTTGCAGAATTCCTCCTCAGGCATTTCTGCTGGAAAGCACTGCACCTTATTTCAGCCACCACAACTTTGTTAATGCAAACCAAGATGGTATTTGGGTTTTCAGCTGAGTATGAAACATCTTAGATTGTCAGATTAAACAAAAGATAAAACTAACTAGGAGACAACTACATATGGAAGTGAATTGCACAAATTTTCTGCTTTTCAGAGCAATGTTGACCCACGAGATGACGTGTTTGGTTATCCACATCAGTATGAAGATAAACCAGCACTGAGCAAAACTGAAGATAGAAAAGAGTACAATATTGGAGTTTTGAGGCATCTCCAAGTAATTTTTGGCCATTTAGCAGCTTCCAGGCTACAGTACTATGTACCAAGAGGGTTTTGGAAACAGTTCAGGTAAGTAGAAAATTGAGTATTGATGTTGGTTCACTGGATCACTGAAGTGCAAAAAAGCTAATCATAGTAGAATGGCAATGATGTAAAGTGTAAATTAGCATAAGTTGTGCAGCTTTATCTGCCCTTTCACCACTCTGTAGAAGTCTGTTAATAAACTATGTTTACAGCAGAGTGGTTCTTTCGAATTTTAGCAGTTTTTGAAAGTGAGACTTTGAATTAAGTATAAAGTTATACACAAGAGCTTGTTTTCACTTACCAGAAAGTGTCAGGGACAGAACAACAGGTCATGTAGTACATCAAAACCCAGTAGTTTGGCTCTTCAAGGGAGAGGGGTTAGGAGCTTGAATGATATATTTTTTCAAAAAGAAATTGTTGGCTAACAAAACAAAAAATATTTGACAAAATGTGCTTTCATTTTCAGACTCTGGGGTGAACCTGTAAATCTACGTGAACAACACGACGCTTTAGAGTTTTTTAATTCGTTGGTGGACAGTTTAGATGAAGCTTTAAAAGCTTTGGGCCATCCAGCAATGTTAAGTAAAGTTTTAGGAGGGTCCTTTGCTGATCAGAAGATTTGTCAAGGATGCCCACATCGGTAAGTGTTGAAGATTTTCATCTTTTTTTTATAGAAAAACAACCCATGTTTGTGTTCTTATAAAAGTAATTAGAGTCAAGAGTGGGCTTTTTGTGGGGGTTTTTTAAGCTAATAGATTTTGCTACCTTATTTTTTCTACAGCTGAACATTCATTTGTCTACAAGTATTTAATCATTATTGCTTCTACTTCACAGATTGTATGTGAAGCATTGTGTATTGATCAAGGCAGGAAAAGATTATGCTTTTTCACATTGAAAGTGAAAACAATTGTAGGGACAAATGTAGAAAATTTTAATACCTGGCCAGCAATTGTTGCTGTCTTTGGTTTTCCATAATGTGTGTTTAGAGTTGAGCCAAGTAGGAATCTTCAGTTCCAATGAGTAAAACTGTTCATACTCACCATGTAACCTGTAATTAAGGTCAGTGGTGTAGAAAGTTCATCTTTTTCTGAAGACTTCTGTATTTGGAGGTACCTTTAAATGTGAATGCTGAAATTCATTTTTGCAGAAGGCATGTAAGAAACCACCAATGCCAAATCAGACTGCAATTCTGTAACTCACTGTTTTGATGATGGTTATTAATGAAGGAATAGAACTCAGTATTGTAAAGTTGTAATTCTCCAGACTTTTTAATTTATCTCTCTTTTTGTGATGGATGGTTAAAATTGCCTGCAAAATTCAGGATGGCTTAATGATTAACTTATTCTTTTTAGCGTTTGTCTTTTTTTTAATATTGTGTTTATTTCTGTCACTATCAGTTGGCCTTCTTACCGTTCAGATCATGTATGATTGTTTAACACTACATACCTTATACCTCTGTACATTGCCATTGCAAATTCTCTTTATTTTGAAAGCTGATCATTTCCTTTAGCCTTCAGTTAGCAATTAAAATACTGGAATAAAATGACACAAATGGATTTTATTGTGGTAATCTCTCAACGTCAATTGATCTAATGCATGAATAAGAATGATTTGTAAAGTGAAGATCTTAAGTTTCATGGATTACAATGAGTGACTAGAAGTGAGTTGAAATACTGCAAGGTAAAATGGTAGCACTGATTTCACCTTCTATGCAATGGGTAATTAAATGGCAGATCCAGACCAGAAGCAACATGAGTTACCATTCATTCCTGATATTATGTATTATCCTGAAGTATTTCTGTGTTTTTTGAACTCTACTGGGTTTGCATAATGTTAACAAAAATGTTGTTTAGGGAGGAGGGAACTGATAGTAACTAAACTGTGGATTTGTGTATGGCAAATAAAAGCCTTTCTATATTTTTTTGTAAGCTATTTATTGCATGAGTGAATATTGCTTTTGATTGAAGTGTTTCTAAATATTTATTTATTCAGCCTTTGAATGCTTGATTGCATATCAGGGAAACAAGCCCTTCAGGGTTACACTGGAATAGATGTGGCTTTTTAAATTTATTCATCACTTCTTTATTTTAAAAACAAAAAGTTGCTTCCAGGATGTATCAGCTGGTTGTCTCTCAAGCATTGCTGGCTTATTGCTAGAGATTTGTTCACAGATTATATTTAGAACATGATGTCAAAGCCAGTCATAAACATTCAAATAGGTTTTATGAAGATGATGATTCATGGTTTTTTAGATAGAAAATAAAAAAGCTTTTTGTTGTTTTTTTTTTAACTGAATTGGCATCTGTTTTGAACTATTGTCTTTAAGGTGTGATAAAATATTTGTGTTTATCATTTAATTCCTGACCGTAGAAATACAGTGTGCAGATACTGTAATGTAACTGTAGGAAAACTGCTGCAGTAAAAAAGAGTTCAGTTCTTTTACTGCTTACACACTGTAGCACATGTAAAACATCAAAAGTTGAACACATTCCTGCCTTTCTCATACATTTACCTGTTCATTGCTAGGTACGAGTGTGAGGAATCCTTCACAACTCTGAATGTAGATATAAGGAATCACCAAAACCTTCTTGATTCTTTGGAGCAGTACGTCAAAGGAGATTTATTGGAAGGTGCAAATGCATATCATTGTGAAAAATGCAACAAAAAGGTAATGATTCCTTGTATTTTTAATCTGTGTACAGCTGTGATGTTACAGCTGTACTAAGTTCAGTCTTAGTTCATGTTTGGGGAGAAAAGTCGTCCTTTCATTACTCAGTTTGGTATTTGGTGAGAGTGTATGAATGGAAATTTGAGGACTGGTAACTGTTCATGTCCTTTTTTAGGTGGACACAGTGAAACGCTTGTTGATTAAGAAGTTGCCTCCAGTTCTTGCCATCCAGTTGAAACGATTCGATTATGACTGGGAAAGGGAATGTGCAATCAAATTCAATGATTATTTTGAATTTCCACGAGAACTGGACATGGAGCCTTACACTGTGGCAGGTGTAGCAAAATTGGAAGGGGATGATGTGAATCCTGAAAATCAGATAATACAAAATGAGCAGTCAGAAAATGAACACTCTGGGAGCACAAAATACAGACTTGTGGGGGTACTTGTGCACAGCGGCCAGGCCAGCGGCGGACATTACTACTCCTACATCATCCAGAGGAACGGTGGAGATGGTGAGAAGAACCGGTGGTACAAGTTTGATGATGGAGATGTGACAGAGTGTAAAATGGATGATGATGAAGAGATGAAAAATCAATGTTTTGGGGGAGAGTACATGGGCGAGGTGTTTGATCACATGATGAAGAGAATGTCCTACAGGCGCCAGAAGAGGTGGTGGAATGCTTACATTCTTTTTTATGAACGCATGGACACGATAGACAAAGACAATGAACTCATAAAATATATTTCAGAAATCGCTATCACCACTAAACCCCACCAGATTAAAATGCCCTCGGCCATCGAGCGGAGCGTGCGCAAGCAGAACGTGCAGTTCATGCACAACCGGATGCAGTACAGCCTGGAATATTTCCAGTTCATAAAGAAGTTGCTGACTTGTAATAGTGTCTACCTGAACCCTCCTCCAGGTTAGTATGGTAGTGTGATAATCATGGATTCATTTCTTGCAAGAAGAGTTTTGCTTTGTGTGGCCAAGGATTTATCTAGGCAGTGAACATTTGGTGTGTCCTGCTTTGAATACTCCTGTCCTTCTGCAGTTAAACACCTCTTGTGGAGTTGTTCATCAGTGGTAACTTGCCAGAGTATTTAGCAAAAAATACTTGGATAAACTATCAGCTATTACTCAGGTGCTGTACTAAATCAAGTTAAAATACTCAAGTTTGAGGGCTCTTTTGTTGAAAACAGTTCTCAAAGGTGAGATGCTAAATTTGTAAAAGACAAATGTTAGCCTCCAGGTACCTGTATTAAAGCTTACATTTTCAAATGATACATTATAGAAGCTAGGGGCTATTTTGATCAAGTTTCTTTTAAAATGGGAACACCATATCAGACAAAACAGTAATCTGAAATCAATTAAATTATTAAAAATTGCTTTTACTTTGTCTACATGTGAGTATTCTGATTTTTCTTTAGGACAAGATCATCTGTTGCCTGAAGCAGAAGAAATAACTATGATTAGTATTCAGCTTGCTGCTAGATTTCTCTTCACCACAGGATTTCATACAAAGAAAATAGTCCGTGGCCCTGCTAGTGATTGGTATTTTGTCTTTTAACAACAATTACGATTTTGGAAGTTTGATGTCTGTTAAAAGATCCCATTTAGTAGATACATGGTGAAGGTGCACGTGGAGAGGGGGAAAGGTTTGAATAGAAAATACTGGGAAGAATTTGAGCCTTGAAATACCCTGCTGATCTGAATAGCTTCAAATTTAATTTTCAAACAGAGCTTAACTCTTGTCTTTAAAAAAAAATAAAAGAATGGAATCTGTCACTAGCACAGAACAGATTATGTTTTCTGACAAATTCAGAATGGTTTTTACATTGTTTTAGTAGTATTAAACAAAGCTCTTTACAAACCATTGTTGCAGCTTATATTTGAATTCTGTTTGTGAAACATGTATAGTAGTCTTTGAGACACTGTTGGCAGAGTACTTTATGTACATTGCTTTAGGGCCTGTAATTCAAACCCACACTGTGACAAACAGTCCCATCTTACTCATTTTAGTCCTTCAGCTGGGTTATTCTCTGCTGAGGAGAGGAGTGGGGGTTACTGCTGGTCAGATTGGAGAGAAAATCTGGTATTCATGGCCAGTAGTTACCAGCTACTAGTAAGTAGCTGTGTAATAATGGCAAATTCATACCCCCAGCAGCAACTTCCTTCCAAGAGTAGCTTAAGTTACTCCTTTGAATTTAAAAGATCAAGAAGAGTTCAAATATTCCTGCTGAAAAGACAGAGTAATGCAAGGCCCTCTCTGAAACACATAGTTTAGTCTTTGGGTATTGGTTTTTCATTTTGTGAGGCTTTTTAAGATCTCTAAATGAGACTATAAATTCTTGTTAGGTTACCTATTTAGTTGTGTGTTGTATATGAAATCCACCTGAATTCCCTGCTGCTCACCCTCTCCCTCAGTTCCAGTACAGAGACAGTGGTGGCTGCCAACATAAGACCTGCTTTGAGGAGTAGATAGGGGGTGTAATGCTGTCTTAATTCTTATAGATGATAGAAGTAAAATTGGTTAGGTTTTTATTTGAAGTTTGGTTTTTAATTGAAGGGTATCTTCCTTTTCTGATTGCTCGTAAGAGTATCACTGTAAGAACTACAATCTAATTAAAATCATTTTGTGAACAAAAATGATTGGGTATCACCTTTAACACATATTTTCTTCAAACTCTGCAAAAGAACATGTCTGCCAAATTCAGAAATGTCTGCATTTGGTGCTAACTGTGCCCTGTTCTGTTGCAGGTATGATGCCCTGTGCATCCTGCTCCGGCACAGCAAGAATGTCCGTTTCTGGTTTGCACACAACGTCCTGTTCAATGTTTCAAACCGCTTCTCTGAGTATCTCCTGGAGTGCCCCAGTGCAGAAGTGAGGGGTGCATTTGCAAAACTTATAGTATTTATTGCACATTTTTCATTGCAAGACGGACCATGTCAATCACCTTTTGCCTCTCCTGGACCTTCCAGTCAGGTATTTAATTTTCTAATGAAAAGCTTTTGAAATTTATTCTTACTTCTTTGTTATAAGCATTTAATGTAAACTCTGGAGCAGATGCATCAGTGTTGGCTGGAAAGCTGTGCAGCCCCTTTGCATTATGAAACAGGATGCAACTCAACCAGTTAGAGAGTTGCTGTCACAGGGTTCAGTTTCCCCTCATTTGTAAATCTCTGTGAAGGCTTAGACCTTTGAGCTGGGAGTGTGAAATCTGCAAAAAAAAAAAAAAGCAGTGGTTATTTTAGTGAAGTAATGTCTAGAGAAGTGAACCCTTGTTTTTATTTAGAACTGTAAAACAAACAAACCCCCACAAACAAACACACTAACCTGAAAACTTGCAGGAGTTCCCTAACTTTTAATCCCATGTATCTTGCAACAGTGAAATTGTCAAATATTGTAACTTAGTGTAGGAGTAGACAGTGAATTGCCTGATTTTACACTCAAACAACAACAACAAAAAAAGCCTACATCTTATTGTGATACTTGTGATAATAATGTTAAAAAGATCAACTTTTTTGAGCCTTTGCATTGTCATGTTTTAATGTCTCTTTTTGCTTACATGATCCCATTTACCTTCCCAGAATGTTTTCACTGCTGTGTCCAGCAAAAGAATTTGTTAAGAATTAAGTTGAAGCTCCATAGGCTTAGGAAGTGTTCTGTGTTGTGAGGTATTTGACATATACCTGAAGAGGTGATTGGGTTGTCTTAGTCTACAAAGTTAATAGTGGAATTGCATGTGTTTCTTGAGTATTTAGGCCTATCTGCTATTGGAAAAAAAGCCCAGTTAAAAGTTTCTGTAGCTATAATTTCTTGGACTTACACAGTGATTGAGTGATGGAAGTCTTACTCCCTGTCTGTGTGTTTTTGTCTGTGTGAGACACTCAAGACTGAACAGCTGCTGCCACTTTGGAGCTTGTATAAATCCCATACCTTGTAACCAGTTCTGTTCTCTGTCACAGTAAAAAGCAGAAACTAAATCAAGATATGATAGATTCAGCCACTAACAGCAGAACTTGTTTCTCTCTGTAGGCTTATGATAACTTGAGTTTAAGTGATCACTTACTGAGGGCGGTACTGAATCTTCTGAGGAGGGAGGTATCTGAGCACGGGCGCCACTTGCAGCAGTATTTCAATCTGTTTGTGATGTATGCCAATCTAGGTAAGCAAATTGCTTTTACTGACAGCACTGTAATAAACTGGGGCTTTATTGATGATCCAGTTACAGAGATAACAGCAGGAGGATCCAGTTTTCCATCCTTAGGCAGATTGTTATAGTTATGTGTCATATAAATGCTCCCTGGCATCTGTGTTCCTCCTCCTTGGAGTTTGGGGCTTCAGTCTCCCTGTCATCCATGGAAGATAAACATGAGAAGCTTGGGGCTGTAAAACAGTGTCCTGCTGGGAGAGGATGAGGATGAAACATTATAAAATACTTGACTGTTGCTGTTTATCAGCTCATGCAGGAAGTAGACAATTTGAAAGGAATTTAATTTCCTATCTCTAAAATTAATCTAGACAATTGTGTTAATTTAATTACAACTGTAATGCCTGTTGCTTTCATATACTTTGCCTGCCAAAGCATTCTCTGTCTGGCAGGTTTCTGTCATGACACCAGAGTAGAATTAGTGTCATGGCAGAGAGGAGAGATGCAATTCTTCTGCTCCAACTTCCCTTTTCTTCTTCACTAGCTTTTCATAGTCAGTGCAGTTCAGCCCTCTGAGTAGGAGAGCACTCAGAGGCCAGATAGTAAAATATAATTTTATTTGTGAGTCTGATCATCATCACAATCTACCCTGCAGAGATAAACCTGGAAATACCAACACAGTAAACAGTTGTCCTTGTTTCACTACTGTTACTGAAAGCTTCTGTATGAGTGTAGAGTCCATTCAGCAAAAACCACAATAACACAATTTCTGCATTCTGTGGAAAAGATTAAACTGTCTGACATTTTGAGAAATCAAATAGTAGATTGTTCACATCAGAGCAAGTGAGAGGTCAGTTCTACAGAGGATGCAACTACAAAACTGTCTAGCATAATCAGCAAAAATGCCTTTATAAAACCACTTACACTCCTCCTTATCAGAAAAATGGAAGGTAAAGCCCAGTTGTATTTTAGAATAAGACAGACTTGGAAATGTATGAAAAATCATAACTTTTAAGCAAAATAAGCAACAGAATGCAAGAAGGGATATAGTGAATTTCCTGGTGAATACTTGTGTAGTACCTGCACGGTATTCTTGCAGTAAAATCAGATGTAAGTTTGGATTTTTTGGTTTGGGATTTTGGAGGTTTTCTTATTTATTTTGTTGCTTAATTTACATTTATTGCATCGTGTGGTACAGTTAAAAATTTCTTAAGTTTGTGATTGATGTATCTAGGACATGATAGAAAAATAAGAAAACACACTTATGGGGTTGTTGTTGTATAAGAAAACAACTTTGGGGGTTGTTTTTCCTATCCTGGGCCTCACAATAAAAGGATTAATTTATTGTCCAAAAGACTTCTCTGAGGCTTTGCTATTAACACAGATGCTACTTGTGCTTTGCTTAAGTGCTAATGAGCACTGTGAAGAAATGGTAGTAATTTACAACTCTCCTTCAATGTGATTTTTCACCTGTATATAATTTTCTTGAGCATCTTGATTGATTTGATTTTTTCCCCAGAAGGTATAAATGAGGGTTTAATAGAACCCAAGAACTAAAAAGTTACAAGTCATGTAAACTCCTATTATTTTTCTTTTAAAAAATTCTAAAAATATTTTCAGTGCCGGAAAAAAATCTTTTTTTTTCCATTCCCTGCCCCATAAAGGTGTAGCAGAGAAGACACAACTTCTGAAACTAAATGTTCCTGCAACCTTCATGCTTGTGGCTCTGGATGAAGGTCCAGGCCCTCCAATTAAGTACCAGTATGCTGAGCTGGGGAAGCTGTACACCGTGGTGTCCCAGCTGATCCGCTGCTGCAACGTCTCCTCGAGGATGCAGTCTTCTATCAATGGTACAGTGAATCCCCAGTTTGCTTTAGATCCAGTGACTAAACCACTAAATGTCTTTTTGTGCATGTTTAGCTATTATTTATAAAGTGGATCAGCTGGAAAAATGTTTTCCTTTTATGTTTAGCAGCTCCTTTCATTGAAAGAAACAAATCTGTTTGTTGTAAGCAAAACTGATTTGTTATACTAAAAAGACCAAAACAGAAATCTGTTCTATATAAAATACAGATATTTTATACTGCTTGGCTTATTCCTTAAAAATATAGGGAAATAATTAGTAAAGTAGGAGGCTGTTCATTACAAAATAGCAGTGCTTTTAGAGTAGTTTAAGCCCAATGTTGACTTAAACTATTCTAAAAGCATTATTATTTTGTTACTATTATTAAAGAGTTGTCCAGAAGATGTTTTTATCCTGAAAAACAGATGACAGAAATAATCTGTACAGGAAAAGCACCACAGCAGGTTTTGAGATAACTGATAGTGCTTAGCACTGAAGAGATGTTGCATTGTTTTGTCTCTTGAATATGATTTGATGTTCACACTCAATAGAGCAAACAGCAGCCAGCGCTTCAGTTTGTAAAGGATAAAGAATCAGTTAGAAATTGATTAACCACAGTGTAAATCATTAACATTTCCAATAGCTGAATAGAGTGCAGTTATTTTTGAGGAATGGTGACAGGATATTGGGCCATGTGGACTTTATAGCCTGTATCTGTACACGTTCTGCTAAACATATTTTAGAAAACCTAATTAGAAATCTGTAGAGAAGCTATTTAATGGGAAACTCATTACAGCTTGATGTGTCAGGCTATAAAGTCAATAGGCTAGACTGTGCTGTAGTGAGATTAATGAACTGAAAATTTTACTGTGCTGTAATAAGCTTCAGAATCATGTGGCAATTTTGGTTGGAGTTTTTTCCAGTGCATTACTTGAAGCTTAAACTGAAAAGGTAGTCTACCTGTGAAAAACAGTTGTATATTCAATATATTCATAATACTCTACTAAAAAAGATTATTTTTATAAACTTTACTTTGACTGTTAATTATTATTACTATTTGCATAATAAAGTTATTTTTTCTTCAGCTTATGAAGCTAGAAAAGTTTTCCCTAGTCTTCTGGGCATCTTCAAACAATAATTCAAAACACTGCTAAATTTAGAAACATCAGGAGCAAATCAACATTCTTTCACGACACAAAATGAAGCTGACTAAATAAGATACATTAATTACAAAAGCATATTTATTCTGTACACTCCAGAGATTCAAATGGGACTGTTCTAACATAGATACTCCCCTGAACACTTTTGCATTGTCTTGTCAAGTAAACAGACATTGTGTCCTTAAAATACAGCTTGGGCTGTGTTACACAAGCAGTGAAGTAGATAAATGCAGGAGATAAGAGGATTTCTCTGAGAAATCTCAGTGAATTCTCCTCTGGCATGTGAATATGTCTCCAGCTGTTCTGCTTTGATTGTTACTGCATATTCTTATCAGAGAGGGAGAAGTAGCTCTCTCAGGCAGCAAGTGTCAAGCTTCACAAACATAAAAATCAGTTATTTCTTACTATATTTTTTTCAAAGAAAGTCAGCTGTTAATGGAGGGTTTGTGGTTTTTCTCCATCTGTGTTTTTTGATGAGTTACACCAGTTTGTATTTTGGAGTGTCTACACTGAAGGTACTTCAGCACCTTTTAATCTGTAATAACTGTTTATTCCAGGTAATCCCCCACTTGCCAACCCTTATGGTGATCCTAATTTATCTCAACCTATAATGGCACTTCAGCAGAACGTAGCAGACATTCTGTTTGTGAGAACTAGTTATGTAAAGAAAATTATTGAAGACTGCAGCAACTCTGAAGAGACCATCAAGTTGCTTCGTTTCTGCTGTTGGGAGAATCCTCAGTTCTCTTCCACAGTCCTCAGTGAACTACTTTGGCAGGTAAAAATAAAAAGCTAGGAGAAAGATGGGAATAAAAATAGGAATGATTCTGCATTTATATGTGAGCATGTTGTACTAAATACTGAAGGGGTGCTTGATAAATAAATTTCCTCAAGATGGCATCCTCTGTCAGTGTTTGCAGTCTTAGGTCTGTACATCACACTGGAGCACTGTGGGAAGTGCTCTGTGAATTTAGGGAAGCACTCAACCTTTAACAAGTCAGGAAGGATGTGTTAAGGGTGGAAAGTAGACTGAGGTGGTCTTTGTGTATTTCAAGAGCATCTGCTAAAACTTTCTGTCATTATTCATGAAAGAGATTCATAGATGACATGAAAAGTTGGAATAACTTCCTTAGATCTCCCTTGTATTTATTTCAAGTATGTTTGTTAAGTCAGGTTTTTTACAAGTCTGCAGAACTTTTTTGGCTTCAGACTCAGCAAAGAATCTTTGATACTGTCTTACAATTCCATTGTAATTTCTGTAAGGTCAGTTACACTTTTCCACTCCAAATAAAATTCTTTACTTCTGTTAGCCCCTCTTTATATTTGCCCTTTTTCTTTCATTTCTTTTATTTTCAGGGACATTTTTCCATGTCCTTTTGTTTGACACTTGAAAGATTCATAATACAAATCACTTTATTGATATTTTGCTGGCCATATATTTTACATTTTAGGGTAACCTGTGAAACCAAGCTTTGTACATACTGCCTAAAAGTAGCAATATCAGTGAAAAGTGCCATTTTTAATTTTTTCTTTTCTAAAGGTATTTTTAAGGTACTTTCTTCATGTCATGCTTGGGGCTTCAGATCAACTGTGTCAGAAAATCATAAAGACACATTTTTTCCTTTACAGAACCTACTGTAATTAAAAACAAATTAAATTGCAAACTACAAAATTCCTGACACAACCAACACTTTCTAGAAAAGAAGTATTGTATCTAGAAGTACCCTTTGAATTACAGTAAACTTCAAATGAATTGTGTTCTTGTATTTCACAGTGTAAGCTGCCTGCCTCAAGAAATGCTTTCTTGTGTTCTCTGCATTTTCACTTTTTAGGTTGCATATTCATACACATACGAGCTTCGACCTTATTTGGATCTGCTTCTGCAAATCCTGTTAATTGAGGACTCTTGGCAAACTCACAGGTCAGTATTTACCTGTACTTTTATAATTCAATATTGTTCTGTACAGGTTGTTTTTCCAGTGGTTCTGTTGCTAATCTTTTCAATATATTTGTTTTAAATAGGTATGAAATCAAAATTCATAAATGATGCAATTTTTTGTGGTTTTATCTGAAAATTTGAGATAAGTACAATTTTTCATATTCTTTACTATATAGAGAAGTTTGCTATGAAGCCAAGACTTCTCACATACAAGAAAATATGATGTTTAGGTTAAACTGAGGTTAAACTTCCCTGTGAAGTGCTCAGATTGATTCACAGAAATGTCCCCTTGAGGTGGGTCAGCAATAGCCTGGGCTTGCTCAGGAGCACATCAGATGTAGGAGTGGTACCAGGACACACATGAAGTGTGAATGTGGGAGAAAATAATATTTCACATTTGGGTATTCTCCACATGATCACGTTTCAAGAGAATTGTAACTCAGCATATTACATATTAATCCAGTTGAAAATCTAATTTTTGTATGTCTACAGAATAAAGATTTTGAAAGCTATTAAAAATTTTAATTACTGCAAATACTGTTTCTGAGAACAGTCAGTTTTTCAGAAGTTTAATATAAAAGTAGGTGAGATAACACAAGTGTCATCAATGTGCTACCTGTCAGTGTTTTACAATGTCACTGTTTCATAATAAGCAGTTTTAGGTAGTGTGGGATTTACTGAATCATTTCCAGCTGTGTCTCATAGGACATTTGAAATGCTTTCAGTGAGAGCACACTTGTTGGGTATGGGAGTGGACTCCTGTCCTTAGCTGTGGAAGCAGACTCCTCATTTAGAATGTTACCAATTGTCTGGGCTTATTTTAGGAGGGACTCAAAGGAGATGGTGGTCTGGCTTAACCACACTCCAAAATATAATGACTGAGTTGTAGGGATTTGGAAATTTTCTTTATGGGATTTGCTATGCATATATAATGCAATTAGCTTATATTATCTTCTGGATAAACAAATAATTCATGAAGTAAGTCCACAGAATGCTGGAGGATGGGAATACTTTACTAGATAGGAAATAAAACAATGGATTTTTAGGGTTGAACAGCAGGTGAGAATGGAAATGATTGTTGGGGATAATGCTGTATTTGGAATAGCAGGGTATGAAGGAGGTGGAATGTTGTGGTGTGGCTTCCCTAGAGAAGTACATCACTCCATGTCCCATTGTCAGGAGTAGCACTGCTCCATGGAATTGTGTTAGGCTTCCACAGAGGGTGTTGAATGGCCAGCTCCAGACATCCACTACTCACTGCCACTTCTGGCCACGGCTTGCAGTTCTTGTCTCTGCCCTGTACTTGGTTTTGCTGTGATAATCAGAGAGTTTAATGATCTCATCCAATAAAAAAACTCCAAAACCCAACAAGCAACCTCAAAACAGTGAAATTGTCCATTGTAAATGGTGTCTTGTAACTGCTGGGAAATGAGTCTGATCTGACCCTGGGCAGTGTGCACCCCTTGGGGCAGCTTGTCCTCTGGTACTGCAAGATCACTGCTGCTGGCCCTTGGCATCAGACCCACTCTCTTAAATTTCTCTTGATTTGACAGGTTCAAGTGCCAAGTTTGGAATGGTGCAAGTGCCATTAAATTAAATTAACTGAAGTAAAGCTCATCATTGCCTTACAGATGGAGCCTGGGCTGATGGCTGCCAGGGCTGTGAGGAAAGAGGGCAGTTGCTTTCCCTGCCATGAGTGTTGCTCTTTGAGACACCAGTGTGGGTTCTGTGCCCCCTCTGACTCTTTTTCAAAGCCAAAAGTGTGTCAGTTCTCAGTTTTTGCACAGTTTCAGGGTAGCAATTAATTCCTCTGCCCTGTTCTAGAGCAGAAGGCACAGAAACTGGGCTTAGTTGCAGGGGATGCCCAAGTCCCTTATCCCATGCACAGATATATGTACCACTCATTCCCCTTCAGAGGAGCTGCATGTAAAGGGTGTCTTTGAGAAGCATAGGTGAGTGTAAGTAACTATTCTGTGAGGATTTAACTGTTCCAATTCTCTGAGGACCTACTGGGTTAACAGGGCTGGTTTGTAAATGCATAGATACTTTAGTAATAAAATTGAACTGTTAAAGTTGATTACTGTGACTAGAATTAATCATAATTACATTTTTATATATCTTGTTCAGTTATATTTTTAGCATGTTTGGTAATTTTTAAACTAAGTTATATATATGACACGTCAGGTTAATTTTCTGATTTTTAAAAACCCCTCTTGACTAACACCAGAAGTCAGAACATCAACTGTCCCTTTTGTAATTATATTGTATATAGACCCTTAATTCAAATGCTAAAACTCTGTAATACTGAAAGTTTTGTCATTGTTTTGGTCTGTTTTTTTCTAGGATTCACAATGCACTTAAGGGAATCCCAGATGACAGGGATGGACTCTTTGACACCATTCAGCGCTCGAAGAATCATTACCAGAAAAGAGCTTACCAGTGTATAAAGTGCATGGTAGCTCTCTTCAGCAACTGCCCTGTAGCTTACCAGATCCTTCAGGTGATGCCTTTTATTCTGTTTCTTGCTGCTTTTTTTTCCCATTTCTGTGTTTAAAAAAACCCAAAACAAACCCCACCATTATTCCATTTTTAGCCCCTCAATTAAATTACAATTTCCATGGACAATTCTTTTGAACCTTCTGTATGAGAAGGTCATTATAAGGGATTGAAAACAATCTGGTTAAATTCACACTCATTTGCAGCTGTGATACAGCTGCAAATCTGCAGACTTCATTTCAAATTTGAAGTTTTCTTTGGAGAAAAAAGGATATTTGTGACTCCTTTAAACAGCAGCAGATCGGTTGGTGGTCTCTGACAGCTGATGTATAGGAAAGGAAAAACACCTCTGTTTTCAAGAACACAGGAAATAATTGTGAATTGTTCATTTTCCATCTGCAGAGCAATGGAGATTTGAAGAGGAAATGGACCTGGGCAGTGGAATGGCTTGGAGACGAGCTGGAGCGTAGACCATACACTGGCAATCCCCAGTACACCTACAATAACTGGTCTCCACCAATCCAGAGCAATGAAACATCAAATGGCTACTTCCTAGAGAGGTCACACAGTGCTAGAATGACTCTTGCAAAGGCCTGTGAACTCTGCCCAGAGGAGGTAAGGAATTAATTTGACTTTCAATTCAGAAATTGAGTAAAATGCTTCTGTAAATAATTAACCTTAGCAAAAGTCTCCACTCATTTAGGAGGTAACACATTTCATGTGTACTTTATAAGTATGGATTTATATTTTTATTTTTCAGTTGCTATTACTGTTTCTGTAGACATTTGTCTCTTAGAGTATTAGCAGTATAAAATTGAAAGTGACCATTTGAAGTAGATTATGAATGGGTCTGTATTTCCAGTAATATATTGATAGAGGGAATTTTTATTACAATACAAGCTATAGGTGACAGGGTGGCGTGGAATTTTTCTCTGAAGGTCTAAAACATGACTCTAGCATTTCTCTGAATGTCTAAAACATGACTCTAGATTGTGTGAAACAATCATTTGCACAGGATTGGTTTGAGCTAGAATAATTGTAATATGTTTTTAAGGAGTAAATTAAATGGGCTGTTTCAAACTTTAGGAACCAGATGATCCTGATGCCCCAGATGAACATGAGTCTTCTCCACCTGAAGATGCCCCACTGTATCCTCATTCACCTGGTTCCCAGTATCAACAGGTAAAAGCTCTGAATTGAACTATTTATTCAGAGTTTCAGGTTTGCTTTTTTTAGCATTTATAGTGGCTTAAATTATAGGCATTTAGCCAGAAGCATGTTATTGTCAAATACCATGTTTGGAGGAATAAAGGTACAGCTCCATTTCACCAGGAGCAGTTTCACCATCAGAGCTTCAGGTGGGAATTTTATCAGATCAGGGATTAATCATCCACAGAAAGGGCAGAGAGATTGATGTAATCACAGCCTAGGGCATACTGAATTTAGATTCTGTTGTATTTATTGACATTGATAATATTTTGTGAGCTGCTTTCTGGTTTTCAAATATAAGATCAAGTCTCAAGGCCTGAATTTGGATAAGTGGAAGGCTTTTGGAAAAAAAGTGGATGGCTTTGTGGCCATGTAACTCGTGCTATGAACAGTGATCTCAAAATTTTAAGTACATATAAAATCCAAATCTGTTTTTATGTTAAATGGCTGCTTTGTTAATACTTTCCAGTGGAAAGCCAGATCTGGAAGAAATCATAACCAGGGTCTTCTTATAGAATTGACTAAATTATGGGATCCCTCACTTAGTAGCCATATTTTGTTCCAATTCATTTTGTATATTCCAAATCTGCTAATTCAATTTCCTTTCCTGCCCAAATCCATTTTCCCCTCCATCTTGCTTTCCTTACTTGATGTTCTCAGCAGAGCAGTTGGTAAGTTATGCAGATTTCCCCACTCCTTCCTGAGCTCCCGGGTTCAGACACATTCCATAACCTCACCATTGCCCTTGTCATGTGTTCACTTTCTTGCAAGAGACAGCATTTCTCACTAACACACACCCAATCCTCAAACTCTTGGTTTCTCCACAAACTCTGCAAAACCGTAGATAAATGAGGTGGTTTTGTTTGCCAGATCTGTGTGTGACTTTTTAAATTGGGGCAGAGCATTTGCAGAAAACTGCTGGTCTAGGTTTCATTCAGTTCTGTAACGTTGAGGTTTCTCCCTTAAAAATTAAAGTATGCAGCATAAACACAGGGTTGCTTTTTCCATTGTTTTAGAGAAAAAAGTCAAGCTGGTTGAATCTGTTAATAAAATATGTGCACAGTGTAATGTGGCAGCACATAGGCAACCTCTCTTGGTCTCCTTTTTTTTCCTTTCTTGCTGCTTTTGCTTTGCATGTAATTGTTTGTGATTCAAAAGCTGGGATTACTGTTTCAAGTGATCCTTTTATCTTTACAAGTTGAAAGTTTGTTTCCCTTGTGTGTAAATTGGCCAGGTAAGTGAAAGGTGTGACTCAGAGGAATGAAGCAGCTGGGATGCGTGTTCATACCATGTGGGTACACAAGAAGTTGGTGTGCTTGAGGACACTTCCCAGTGGTCTGAGTGGAGAGGGGGAAAGCAGGGAGTCAGGAGACAGCCCACAAGGTTAAATCCCTTTGAAATATGTGTGCTTTGTTGCAGAATAACCACGTGCATGGACAGCCATATACGGGCCCGGCAGCACACCACATGAACAACCCTCAGCGAACCGGCCAACGAGCACAAGAAAACTTCGAAGGCAGTGAAGAAGTGTCCCCGCCTCAGACAAAAGATTAGTGAAATGCACATAATCAATTAACTTGCTCCATCAAGACTGTGCACCCAGGCCTTACAGTCCAACTTTTCTCTGTGTCTGGCTAATATTTAAAACTAGAAAAACTATTCCTAATCAACATGGAGTGGAGAGTCTATTCACTGTCTTATCTGCAGAAAATTGCTGTCAATATATAACCCGCCTGCAGTGGAAAGTGTATAGTGTTTTGTAATAAATGGCCTGATGCTAATGTGTAAATGGCAAAGGTGTATATAGTATATTAATGTTTGACTGTTAATTCTTGAGCAAGAAACATTTTTTTTTGTCTTGATGAGACTCACAGATCTACAAAAACAAAAAAATAATTTCTTGATATATCTGCTGCGCTCTGCAACCAGTGTTGCCTGCCTCATGGCAGTTGGATCAACTCCTTTACGAAAAAGCCTATCCATGTCAACCACAAAAATAGTTTCATGTTAATTCTTTGCCACTGGAGTCGATTTTACTATGAGCAACGTAATGGCTGGTAACCTTTTAATTATTTGGTTGATGTGGAAAATTGGTGATGTAACATTGTTTCTAGATCTTTTTTCATTGCCTTTTTCATTCTGGTATTAGGTTAATCACTTTGAAGCTATAGTTATGCTGTAACATTTAGCATGGCTTCACACCAAGTTAGTGTAGCCAATGAGGGGGAAAAAAAAAAAAAAAACAAGCGTGACAGCAGTTGTCCCAATGTGACAACTGTATTGCTCAGAACTTTTTCTTCTTACACCTAGACTATAAAATGGGGAGGGAAAATGTGACAAACAAGTGGTTTTCAGTTTCACATATGTTCCTCACATCTGATGTTTGACAGTTCTCTCTCTGGGTGGGATAAAGAACACTTAGTTTTCAGTAATAGGAATTTAAAAGATTTAAAACAAATATGCAAAAATTTGCTATGCCAGGATGCCTGGAGCATAATAGACTGTATTTGGTGTGCTTGTTTTGTTTCTTTGGTAGAGCTTATTAGATAAACTTCTAACACTTTCCTTCTACTGCATCCCAGTGAAGTGGAAGTCAACAAAATCACAGAGTACTTGTGAGTGCCACTGCACCAAGTTAACTTGCTGGTTTTCTGCTCGTTCACAGTTCTACTTGAAAGCGAGAATTGTCTTAGCTCTTTATCCATTATACAGAAAATCTTAACATTAGAAGCAGGGTTTAAATATAAAAGAAACTACTGGTTAGTCAAATACAATTCTGAGGTATCTCTATTCCAGAATAAACATTTGTTTAAAGACTTAAAGAAACGCATCAGTAAATACTGTATTTAAATGAAAATTGGTAACTTGAATGTGTGTAATTTTTTTGGAACCTGTCTAAAAACCAAATACCCCTGCAAAACAGATACAGCCCACCCTATACTATTTAAATATTTTGCTGTTTTATTTTATAGAAATTATTTTGCTGAATTCACAAATAGAATTTGATTTAAGAAGAATGTTTTGTCCTGTGGTGTGTGTTGTTTTTTGGGGTTTTGTTTTTTAATGGACTGCACAGAAAGGTGAATTCTGTGCAGTGGCACTATGCTGAATTCTGGAACAACAGTCACATTGAGATTCTGTGCACAAAAAAAAAAATTGGCCCTCAAGAATAAAATAATCAGGACAATTACACTGTAAAAGTTTCTTAATGTGATTTATCTTGTACTTTTTGTATGTTTTTATATATACATATATATATTTAAGAGCACAAGCTTGATGGTGTTTTTTACAAATGAGTTGATAGAAACAAAGCTGCTTATCAAATTAAAGGTCTGTAGTTTTGAAATGAACAATGGAAAATTCAGTCCAAGTGCATTCTTAGGCATTTAGTGTAACAAGGGAGAGACACAGAAGATTTTTGAATATGCTGTGTAGCGATGATCACTTTTATGCTTCCATGTTTTTCCTAGTGCTCAAGTTAATTCAGATTTTCTTCATAGTTTTTTAGTAATACCATTTTACCTGGATTTAGTACATTTGGATAAGGTGTTCCCATTATGTTTGGGGATGCTTGTTGGAGGTTTTAACTACAAAAATTCTACCCTGAGTTCTCAAGTTGAAATATTTATTTGGACCAGTAATTGTTAAACAGGCTATCTCAGAGGCGATTATTACGTATTTTGTACTATATAGGTAAAATATATAATGTGCTAGTTCAGCCTTGCCAAATGTGTTTGCTTTTAATAGTGCAATGATTGTAGAGACATGTCAAACCTGTGACACTTTAAGGCTGTGGCTTTCTCCAGCCATACCCAGCCCTGCCCCAGAATTGGGAATGGCTGCAGTGGCAGTTGTTTTCCAGGCAGCAAACTGAGGATTTTGTGCATCTCTGTGACATGAAGAAAGGTAAACCCATATTGTTTGCTGCAGCTGTTGCTTTTTTAACAGGCAGCTCCAGTGTAAGGTGCAATGTTTTCTTCACTCTGGGCAAAACCATTTTGAATTGTACTTCTTAACAAATACTGTACAAGCAAAACGTTTGATATGCACGTTTCTGTCGCAGCATTTTGGCAGGGGACTCCAGGCACTGCACCTGGTGATACCTCCTTGGTGATGGCACACTCTAAAGCAGTACCCCTCAAAGTGCCTAAAATTCCATTCCCCCATCACTGATTTCAGTCCTGTTTTCTGTTTAGAACAGTTTCTAGGGAATCTCTGGTCTTCCATAAAATGAGCCAATAAATAGTAAAGCAATTCCTCGTGTTCCTGGCAGTGTAACGTGGAATACATAGAAACTGAAAATCCATGGGTGATGTTGAGTCAGGGTTAGTGTGTAGTTTGACCTGGGGGGAAATCCATAACCTTACTGAGCAGAATTTCTCCATCTTGTACATTTGGCTTGTGGTTGTTTAGTGACTAAATTCAGCTTTTAACACTTGCTACTGTCAGTGTTAAAAATAGTACAGCCATATATAAAAAGAATTCAGTCACTCTTTGTGTATCAGTAAATGTACTATGTTTTGGTCACAGAGTTGGTCACCTGCACCTGTGTTACCCCTTTGACAAGAAGGAGATGGCTCAGGGTTCTGTCAAAGCTTGTTTGTCCTGCAGGACCCAAACTTGTGGGAATGGACAAGCAGAACAGGACTCTGCTTGACTTGGAATTTTTCACATTATTTTCCCAGCTGACTACAAGCTCTGAAAATTTGAGTTCTCTGTTTTTCAAGCTTGTGTATCTTGCTGAAATCGAGCCAGAAAGAAATGAAATTCCCCCATTGATTTTTTTTTATTTTTCTGACTGAAACTTTAGACAACATGAGAGATTTGTGTTAATCATATTTGCTATTATGCCTTCTCAGCCACTCTGTTGTGCCTAGCTTGTGTGTTTTAGCATATGTATCATGAAAAAGCACTTACAGTTCCAAAACTTCCTGTATATTTCCTGAGATCCAGGAGAGAATGAGATTAGCCATTCTGCCAAAGCTAAAATGGGCAAAAATTGGCTGCTGTAGCAATTTACTTCATTTTTGATTTCAATAAATTTTGTCTACCTCTTAAGTCTTTTGCCAGAAATGAATAGGCTGATGAGCTGTGTCAGGGCAGTGTGGCTTCATGTTTTTGTTGGTGTGAGTTCCAGTTACTGGGCATTGCAGGGAAGCTTTCAGTGCAATTAATTTAACTAAAAATGAAGATTGACTGTATAAATTAGAGGAAGAAGAGGCCTGTTGGGGAATTTGCAGAGTAACCAATTAAGTATTTAAATATCTTAGTTAAACCTCGTTAGCCCACACTTACAAATCCACATTGGAAGCAAATTCTCTCCCCCATGACAAAAGACACACCATTATTTTTGGGAGGGTGAGATGCTGATGCCAACCTCACATCTCTTAGGACAGATGTGGGATTCTCCCATTTGTGGCTCTGCTCCAGCACAGCATAATCAGGACCACAGTGATTTTGGCTCTTTGTCTTTTCACTTTTCATGCCCTCCATGATGTTCATGACACCACTTTCCCCCAGCCATGAGGTTTGGGCGTGAAGTTGCAGCTGCCCTGCCTAGAGCCAGCCAGAAGAGGCTTTCTGGGAGCAGTGGGAAGTGTCTGGCACAAACCAGAGCTGCACTGTGATGCTGCAGTGGCAAAGGCAGAGTGCAGGGATCCCAGCTGCTTCCTCCTGCAGGATTCCTGCTCTCCTAGCAGGTGTGTGGTGGGAAAGGTGACACCAAACCTCTGTTTAGAGCTCTGAATTCTCTCCTGGCTGGCAGCTGGGCTCACAGTGAGCTGTGGGTACCCTCTGTGCCATTCCAGGCTGTCCCTGTGCCTGCCCAGTGGGTGCCATGTCAGCACAGCCCTCCTTGTTCCAGATTGCAGGAAGGGCTTTACCCCAGCCTGAGCACTGGTACTTTTCACACTGGAACTTCCCAAGGTTCTTACCACCAATTTCCTTTTATTCCTAAGGGATAAAAGTCTCCCCTGGGCTTTAAGTGTCCAGTAACCATTCCTGTGTCATTATTCACAAGAGCAATGCACAGCCCCACCCTGCAGTGTCTGTCAGGAGTAGGCTGTGTTTGGAAGGGTGCTCACAAGAGATTCCAGCATTAAATTGAGACCTCCCCATCCTGCACTCTGATTTTCTAACACAAGTTGTGGTGGATCCATGGATTTCAGCAGCATTTGTGCCAGTTCAGTTGATCTCAGCACTGTAAGAGTGGAAGTTGGTGATGTGTTGGGGTCAGGCCAGCTCAGTCAGTGGGCGGCACTCAAGACAGAGCTCTTGTTTGCAGACAAATCAAAACAAGCATGGGGGAAACAGTTTCTGAAGGAGAAAAACACTCCTGAATAAGGGCTAACTTTTAATCAGATTTTTAAATACCCAACTCTGTATTTTTTAGCTTTAGAACTCCTTGAAGCCACTTTTTGATAATAAAACTGACCTACAGGCTGTTTCCTTGGAAGAATTTAATATAGCCTTAAATCACAGCAGCACAATTCTGAAATGACAGGGTCATTGTTCAGTGGTCAAAATAATGTGCAAAAAAATGTCTTCTAGTTTTTAACCATTAGATAACCTTGAGTAGAGAAACAAGAGGAAAAAGGTTCCATGACTTCATCCACAATCTGACCATAGCAAAACATCCAGTGCAGGGAAATAAGATCATTCCCTTCTCTGTTTCTATAGTATTCAAAGTGTCTGATAATGTTAAATTTTGTTCTTAATTTGCAACTGCTGTTCCAGTAAGTTGGTGTATTTTGCCCAAAGTGGTGTGAGCTGCACTGTCTGATTTGCAGTGATGTCTCCTTTGGTCCACACCAGAGCAAAATGTTTCAGTGTTTGGTTTTCCCCTCTAGGCTGTTCCCTGATCCACATTTCTGCTGTGGTGTTGTGCTGTCCCTGTTTTCATACAATGCCCAGGGCTGGATGAATGCTTTCCAAGTGTGGTTTCACCTGAGCCATTAAGTGAGCAGTTCTGTTCCTTTGCTGTAGTGATACCTCTGTAGGTGCAGCTTTTAAAGGTATTATTGGCCTTTTTTGTAGCTTTATTTATTGAAAAATGCTGCTCAGTTCTTGTCCCTCACTCTTAAATTCCTGTCCATCTTTTATTGTGATTCTTACAGAGTTTTTCACTCTGGATTGCAAGGATCATTTTTATATTCAGTATTTTTGTATTTTCTTGGAATCAAATCCCTTCACTTGTTTACCTCCTGTTTTTACCCACACCTGCAGTCCTGCTGTTTGCTGCTGCAAGAAAAAAAACCCAAAAACCCCCAAATTTGCCAGGCAGCCTGGAGCCTTTCAGAGTGCAGTAGCAGCAGCCACAGCCTTGACCAGGTGGGCTTTGTCATCTTTTAAAACTTCTCATTTATGTGGGGTAGGAAAGCTTTGTGCTACTGATGGCATTCTGGAATTCTAATAGCTTGTAGCTTACTGGGGTTTTTTTGGTTGGTTGTTGTTTGGGGTATTTTTTTCCCTTCATTTTCTATATTGAACCATTATTCTACAGGTGAATAAAAGCAGTAGGTTTTGCTGGAATCTACTCTGGAAAAGAAGGTTGGATACTTAATATACTTGATTGTATTTAAATATCTGGTAGGTGCTTTAAAGTCCTCAGAAGGTCTTCTGGAAGCAAATTCCAAAGCTTAGAAAAGTGAAGATTAGTTCTTCAGGACTTACTGATACTCACCAATTCTGTCTGCCTGCTGTGCATGAGTGAGGACAGGTGAAGCAGCAGAAATGGGAATATTTTGCTGAAGGGAGAGGTCGTGCTGTGTGAAATCCCTGGGGAGCTGGAGCTGTGCTTTGCCTGGCCCCACACACCTGTCCTAAGCCACAGAGCAGCAACTTCAGACTAAGTAGCATGTAAAGCATTTTCTACTCTTCTTCTTCTCTAAGGTCTGTACCAAGTGTAATCCTCTGAGCAGATAAAGGCAGGGAGGGGGCTGAGCGAGGGCCTTGACAAGCTGCTCTGTGAATCCTTTCTACCTCTTGTTCATTGCTGGGAGCGGCTCCGGCCGTGCGGGAGCTGCCCCGGGCCAGGTGAGGTGCACAAATACCTGGTGGGGCTGTTTTCTGGGCAGGCACTGCCGTCCTGCCTCCCTGGGGATAAATGGAATTGTTTGGGGAACCTGTGTTTGCATCCAGGTGAAGGAACTGGCGTTTTTTAGGGGGCACCGTGAGGACTCTCAAACATTTCTCCTCCCGTGTGAAGTAGCATCAAATCCTCTCACAATTAATGTTCAAATCACGCAGCAGTCGCAGGGAGGGACTTGCTTTTCCAGCTGTGTTGGTGAGGGTTTGGAAAGGGAGATGTGGGGATGTGAAAAGCCAGGATTCTGCAGATCAACCCAGGTGTTAATCTAGAACAAAAAAATGTTACTGATTGCTACTGTGGTTGTGTGTAAGACTGAAATGCTGAACGAGAACTGTAACCCTCCCACTCCGAGTCTGAGAGAGACCTGGCATTGGCATTCTGAACACTTCTGCAACCTGAACCAAAAACTGCTGTGGGAATGTAGACTTACCATAGAGCTGTGGAAGAAAACTTCAATCGTGTCACTTCTCTCGGTCTTCAGAGCAGTCAACATGGTTTTGATGTAGGTTTTAGATTATGTATATATAAATCTGATTGAAGTACCAACAGCAAACCATAAATAAAATGTGGACTTAATTGAAGAACGGGCTAGTGGAGGCCTCTTGTGTTGAATTTATTAAAATACAATAAAACCAAGTTGTTGGTGGAGGAGACTCGCTGTGATGAAGACAGGGAATAAATAAAGCTGGAGCTGAGCCAGGTTTGCTGCTGCCTCTGCCCCTCCTGTGCACCCACAGAGTGGTTTGATGGTGCTGTGGTGGCTGGAGATGAGCTGGGAACGCTCCTGGCATCACCTTCGTGCCTGTGAGGGCCAGAGGCTCTGGGAGTGGCAGCTGCTGCAGGGACAGTGCCACATTCCTGTCACATTCCAGGCCCAGAGGAGCTGGTGCAGTGCTGGGGAGCTGCTGTGACCCTGGGCCTGCCACGTGCCCCTCGCTTTGCTCTGCCAGAGCCAAGGGCCATCTCCCAAAGGAACGTGAGGTGGGTCCAATGCAGAGCTACTGGAAACATCTGGTTCCCAAAGTTTGCTCTTGAAGATGTGCAAATGGAAGTGGAGAACAGTGGCAAATTTCTGGGAATTTGTGGTACTAACGTGAAATAAAAAACAATTTAAAAAGGACATTATGGAAGCAGGTGGCACAAAATATTCCAGCTTGGCATGAGGAAGAACTTCTTTACAGTGAAGGTGGCAGAGCTGTGGAACAGCTGTGGAGTCTCCCTCTGGAGACATTCCAGACCCACCTGGATGCACTCCTGTGTCACCTGCTCCAGGTGACCCTGCCCTGGCAGGGGATGGACTGGGCAGGCCCCAGGGGTCCCTCCAACCCCGACACTCCTGTGATTCTGTAACACCTGAGTTTGTCCTTGGCTGCTCAGTCAATGTCGCCCATCTGAGTGGACGTGAGTGTGAATTCTCTGGACATCAACATGGTGGCAAAAGTGAGAATTTCGGGTACACTCTGGATGTATCCCAACAGATCACTGGGGGTAGGGGGTTGCTGTAAACTGGGAGAAGAAAGCTTTTGATAAAAACAGCAAAAATGTTAAACAACTCCCACAAATGTTTCTGTTCTCACATTTCTCTCTGAGAATTTGTTAATGTCACAGGACAAAAAAAGCCATTTTTTAATTTAACCTCTGTGGAGGCTGTAAAGATTTATTGATCATCTGCCTCCCTGCAACCTTTTAGAATTTGGGCCCCTGTGGTTTTTACATTAGCTGAAAACACAGCCTGAAGCAGTTCCCTTGTATTTGACAGATAACTTACCTGGTAACTTCAGCACTACAGTCAGGATCATGATCTTGCTGCTAGAGCTTGTTTCCCTCTCTTCTTTTTGCAGAACTCCCTGCATGGCTTTGCTCTGGCCTTTTTTCCCCTCACACTGTTCCTTGCATCTCCCTCTGCAGTTGTTCCCTGCCCGCCCCAGTGTGTAGCAGGCTGTGGGTCCTGCAGAGCTGCTCCCCTTTGATTTCTCAGGGCTGGGCAGTGGGGCTGGGAGTGGAGCTGTGGAAAGCCCCGGGGCAGGGACCTCTATCGCCGGCTGGGGTCCATGTACAAATCACAAATGGGATGGGAATGCTGTGGAACGTGCCTTGAGCTGTTTTATTTTCCAGCATCAGTCTCATTACATGGTTATGACAATATGAAGATGCCATCAGCTCACATCCCAGGCAGCAGACTAAGAACTTAATGTTACAACTCACTTTATAAGTTGTTTGACCAATCACACAAAGCAAAAGCACATTGACAGTAGCTCTATCCAAGCACTATAAGCACAGGTACCTTTGGTTAAAGCAATGCTGCTTATTTTGAATCCAATACCTGCTTGTAAGCCTCAAAACACAATGCACAGAGCTCCATTATTAAGCTTCAACCTTCCTAATATCTTGCTAGAGAAACTTTTCTGTAGCTTAGAGAGTTATTCTAGACAAGCGTTAAAACACAGACCATTGTTCTATTTGTCGTTTTCTACTTTTTACATAATTTTTCTGCTGACCTATCTCATGGCTGCTGCTTAGCTCCAATCACAGTTCTGCTGTCTCTGAGGCCTGCCTTTGCAGCTTTCCCAAAACCCTCTGATTTTGTGGATTCCCACAACCTCGGGGTGAAGAGACCCTCCCCTACCGCTTCCATGGGGGAGCTGGCAGGGGACAGTGATGTCAATCAGGGTTCTGTCACTGGGAAGGAATTTGTGATACCTGTCCATGTTTAGGTAGCACTTAGTGCTTCTCAACACACCCTTAAAAAAATTTAACGAAAATGCTGTTTGCCCTTTCAGTAGATGGAAATTTGAAGCCCTTCTAAAGGAAGGCTTTAGTGCTTCACTGGTATGTATCTTTTATTTTTTTTAAATTTTTTTCTTTTAGCAGACAAGGCCATATACTGGAAATAACCTCTGAGAATTCTGCAGGAACACTTAACATCTTTCTTTTAAACAATTTGCTTCATTTCAAGATTTCTGTAACTGTGCTAATCTTTATGTGAGGAGGTTTAATAATACAATTATTATTATTATTATCGTTTTACTAATGAGCATGGCTTTGGTTTTTAAGTTTGACTGTATCTATAGTAGCTCATGTCTTCTGTGCAGTATTGGGGCTGAGAATTGAGATGCTCCTCCATGAAGTGAAGTACCCTGGATATAAACCATACAAGCAAATCAACTGAGTATTCTGTCATGCTGCTAAAACAGCTGCTTTGAGCAGGAGGTTGCTGATTATGATACGCATTTAAAGCATAATTACAACACATTCCATAATTACTCCCACAGCAGGGGGGTTGGAACTAGATGATCTTCCAGGTCCTTTCAGCCCCAAACCAGCCCACGATTCCATACAATGGCAGTGGGGGTAGAAGGGCAGGACCACAGAAGGAGCCGTGTGCTTTCTACTTTTTATTTTCATTTACATTTCCAAGTGTTTTTGTGTTGGAGCTGCCTCGGTCGAGCCCCTCCCACCTCAGGGCCAGGCTTGTGCTTTCCTGTGCTCAGCAGCTCCTGGGGCTCTGCCCTGTCCCTGCCTGGTTCATTTCTCATTTCTGCAGTGCAGATTTGGAGGGAGCTCTGCCCTGCTCAGCTGAGCCTGAGCCTGGTGCTCAGCCCACAGAGCACAGGGACTGGCCCAACTTCAGCCCCATCTTCATTTTCTGCTCAGGGCTTTCACAGATCCTCCCAGCCCGAGGTTAAGCTTGTTAGGAACTCACCTGCATATTTTTATTGGTATTTTTAAAATTCTTATTGCATTGTTAATGTCTTAACTTCCTCTGTTGTGTAAACTGCTGAAGTTCACCTCAATTCTACAACTTAAATTAGACCTTTGGTTTAGAAAATATATTTCAATTCACTTAAATTTTTCATTGAAGGTTGGTTTTTTTAGAGCCTTTCATTGTTTATTTGTTTTATCTTACTCCCTATTCTCTCATGTTTCTTTTCACAGACTTTTAGCACTGGAGGTGTTGGGGCTGCAGGAGCATTTTAAGTCTTCTGGTCACTTGCCAGGATCACAGTGGCTTTTCTGAGTTCCATGTTCATGTTGGCAACAGGAGACTGCACTGGAATAGTGGCTGCAACTGGAGTT